CTCTAGAAAGCATAGAAAGGTGCAGCCTACACAGAAAAAGATATCTGACTGTAGAGAAGTCTGCATAACAAGCAGTTTATGCTGATTCTTAGAGACTGAGAAGTATGTGTTTTCTATTATCCTCATATTAAGTCTTGAAAAGGATGCCTGGAGCTCATACATAGTGTGAATTCTGCACAAGTGAAAGATTCTGATTCCACACTGCAAGAGAGTTATGATTGAACACTGCCTTTAAAAAGTATCCAGTCATACACAGATAGGCCTGTCCTTCTGTTTGACCTTTTCAGCTAAATAAACACATGAAACTGTCAAGTTGGTCCACAGCAAGTATTATTTTCCCTATGCATTCAGTACTATCTATAGTAGGGAAATGTATGCATATGATGTTTTATAATTTTTATTTTGAATTTAAATAATAGATAATAATAATGTATATTATAACACTGCAAAAGCATTGCAATAAGTTGCTATAGCTTATGTTCCCTTTATTTGTTTCATCTTTAACTCAGTTTTAACATTTGTGTAGTGTCTCTGCACAGTAACTTTTCCACTGGAACTGTAAACCCTGCAGTACTGCTTACATGCCTAAGGGGAAAAGATTTTCTCTTTTACTTTATATGGACTCTTAGAAATAATTATGCACTAAAGGTTGGAAAATTACTGTATTGACATTGTCCTCCATCCAATAAGCACATATCCAACAAAGTATTGATGGAAGTGTTTTACTTTGCTGACTACGACATGTCGATTGAACTATTTAGCAAATTGTTAATCTATATGATGAAAATAAATAGCTGGTGAATGTACAATATCTTCTTTTAAAAATTAATTTGCTGCATGCACTGGAATGGATCCTATCCTATAAAAGCTGACCGATGTTGTTGCAGAACCCAGCAGCAATTTCAGCATTTTCAGCTTGTCCAGCAGATATACATGAAGCTACAACTTCTCAGACTGAGAAATGCCAAGAAATGTCGTTTCTCCCTGACTCTGATGGGTGGTGCTGCCTGGCAGGCAGGTAGTGGTGGTGAGGATGGGGCTGACTGTCCATAGCAGCTGTCTGTGGAGTTGTGGTGGCTGTGTTAGCAGAGATCAGAGTCCTTTTTCCCTGTGGGGGAAAGAAAGGTGCAGATGGTCACGGTCCCAGAGCACACCCAGGTAAATGTGTCTTTGCATGTTGTGTTCCTACATGACTGCCAGAGTTATACTGAAGCTGTGAATGCTTTTCTGGAGGGTGCTGTACTGAAAGAGCATAAGTCAATGTTCCAGTAACTACTTTCAGTAGTCTCTTTAATCCTATGCCTTGCCTGATGTGGTTTGTACTTAGTTGTCATGTAACAACAGAGGTGGTGACAGAGTAGTGCGTTTAAGCAGCCAACAGCAGTGAGTACTGGGAATTATTGGAAGCCACTGTTGATTTGATGGAGTAAAATCTAGAGTAACTAAGAAAAGGATCTAGCATTATTTGTTTGCAAAACGTGGTTTTTAATCATAAACTGAAATTCAAAGTCCTTAATTAAGGGCAGGCACAAAAGATTCGGTAATGATAATGATTCAATTTTCTGAACTTTGACGGTGTGTGGATGTGGCCCAGACTGCCAGAAATGACTGAAACAGAAATGCTCTTTTCAATCACATGAAACTGCCTTATACTAAAGGACAGCTAATTAAAGCTGAATTTAGCATTTATGCCTAGAGGGATTGGACAGATATGTCTGTGATAAACGTACTAGAAAGTATAAGGATAGCTGCTCATTGCTACTCATTGTTCTGTATGACACTTGAATAAAATTAAATGTATCATGATATTCACTGTAGTTCACTGGTGTTCTTCCTGGTACAGGCAGCTGTGATGTATACAAGATAAATGTGTTATTTGACAAACAGAATCACTGGAATGAATACTTGCCCTAAACATTTTGCATTTAGCTTAGGTTACAAGCTGTCTTTCTTGCATACCTCTTTGATCTCTTCATACATCTCTTGTCTGGAAGAGTAAAGCTGTAGTGTGTGCTACTGCAGTGAATTGTGGTCTTACCCCAGTTGTGAATAAAGTCACCATCCAGAGGTTTGCATTTTGCTCAGGAAAACCTAGAACAACTAATGAGAAAACTGAAATTCTAACAGAGTAGTGGCTACTTGGGATTAAAATCTGACTTCTTGTTTGCATTTATATAGTTATTCTAGAATACTGTTGGTACCATTAGGGAAAAGCTGGTTTGTGAGGAGGTTTAAAAAGTAGAGTCACATGGTGTGACTCTTGGGGATGGTCCTGTGCGGGGCTGAGAGTTGGATTCGATTGCAGGTCCCTTCCAATTCAGCATAGTCTGCACTGGGAGGATATTTGGTCTTTCAGATCCTTTGTATTTCTCTCCTTTTTTTCCTCTTTTATTCTGTGGATTGGGACTAGAGCTGAGTTGTTTCTTATGTTTTATAATTGGTTACAAGCTGTCCGACTGTGTTTATAATGAGGTTTGCTTGGGCCTATGTGAACACCTCGTAATGGGACCCTGATAATTGCTGTATTAGGAGAGTTTGTTTGGGAACTCAACCAATAGACGTTAAAGGGATCAGACTATAGCTCCCATGTATGTATAGGCATACACATATGTGACTTCTCTTTTTAATAAATATTAAATAATAAAACTATTTTTAAAGTTATATGTATTTGCACACACACTCGAATCAAGATATACATTTCTTTTTAAAGGAAATTGGGTATCAGAGAGAAATGAGGTTCAGTCTAATGTCAGTCCCACCAAACACCACAGTGTTACATTTGGCTGTACAACTACTGGGTATAAAGCAGTTAAAACCAGGTGAAAACAAACAAACATGTAGCCAACCCAAAAAGTATGCAAAAAACCAACAGAAATTGTTTCCATATTTTAACTTCATTTGGAATTAAGAAATAAGTTTTTGTTATATGGAAGGCTGCAGGTGAGTCAGGTGTTGGCATCCCTTTCCAATCCTCTGCTGGGTCAGAAAAATAGAAATATGTTCTCCTGAATTGAGACTTCATCCGGCAAAAGAAGGAATGAATATTCTGTGATTCTAAATGTGTGTTCTATTGATTTAATCCATTGATTTCAGTAAGCATAAAAGATACTTGAGCTTTCTCTTGCTGCAAAGCATACCTTAGTATCATGCAAAAACATGTACACGTTTTAAAATACTTGCTAAACTGCTGCTGGGTTACAAATATATCTCCTATAAGTCAGGGATGAAGAGAAAGGTTCATTCTTAAATTATTTGTTTGTGTTTCTTGAATAAATATCCATAATAATTAGAAATTAAAATACCACCCTTGCATGCTGGGCCAGGTGTTACCTGTTCAAGGCTAGCACATGGAACAACTTTTTAGCATTTTAAAATGACATAGCATTTTTGGCCTGGCATTCATACCGTATCTTTCTTGTAAGAAGCAGATCTGGACTAAGTTATTTCCCCAACTCCAAAAGGGTAAGATATGCATCACCAGCAAGGAAATATCAGCACTTATTTTAACTTGTGAATTGAAGCATTTAAAGGTAAATTTTAGATACAAACGTTGCCTTGAAAATTTTGTACTCATTTTCTGTGGAAAGCCAGATGCCTTGGAGTTGCTGATGTTATGTTATTGGGGAAAATTTAAATGTAAAATTGCATCCAAATGAGGACTCCCACAGATTTCTAAAGTATGCTGGCCCTCATTAAACTAATTATAGCTTTTTTTTTACTATCTTCAGGCTTTTGTGGGGAAAAAAGTCTCAGTGGAGGGAATCAGGGGATAAGAGCTGACTGAGAAAAGCCATGGTTCTACATTGTCAAGTCTTGTGGCAGACTTTTGATTGGTGCTTTCTAACAACATGTATTTAGAATAAAAAACAGACAATTAAAATTATCTTTGCTTTAAAGAAAGGTTTCTTTTTGTGTAGCAATTTGCATCTAGAATAGAAGAACTGAGGGACATATTTTTGGGGCATGGACAAAATTAGTCTTTTGCTGAGAGATTTGCAAAATGAGTTTGACTTTTACTTGGAAACCAACCCAAAAATTTGCCCTTGTGGGGCTGTGCTGTAAATGAATATATGTTTTTTAGGCTAGATAATCAAACAGATGTGGATGCTCAGTACATTCTCCCTTGTGTGTTGCTTTTACCAGTAAGTTATTCCAATGGGCTGTTTTGGCTCAGGCAGACCATGTTAGAGGTCTTACAGAGGTTTTCTTATACTTTTTCTATCTATTTTTTTTTTCTGTTTAATCAGTTCTGTTCTCAACCACACTCAACAATGAAATTATATAGACACTAAAGATACCCCCCCTTCCCAACCTGTATTGTATTTTTGGAAATACAGAACTAAGTCCCATATTTGTTCATGTGAAATGGAAGTAGTTGTGTCCAACGGCAGCTCCACCTTGCAGAAAATACAAGGGCAACTGCAGGTCCTGTGGAGGGGAGAATTCAGAGGCTTTTCTTCTGTGAATGCCTACAAACATCTGTCAGTTCAGAGATGCTCAGCAAGTGGGAGGAGGAGGCAGGGCCATACATTGAGTGAGAGTGGGGTCAGAATTTCTGCTGCAGATCAGCTGGCAAAGGCAAGTATTTGTCTGGAGAAAATAACTTTTAATGTACTGTGTTCTTTCACTTGTGGTTGAAAAGTTTGGTTCCAGAAAATGCCTCTAGATGAAGAATTCTGTCATTCAGGTTAGAACCAAAGAGTCTGATTTTAGGAAAGGAACTACTGAGCACAACCCTTCTCCCTTTAGAGGATCAGGAAAGTTCAGAATGATAAATGGGTAGTGGTGAGAGACTTTCTCCACAGGAGCCAGCAGATATTGTACTTAAATTATTTCAATTAAATTAATTGTTATTAAATTATTTATGCATATATATCTCCATTTAAATTTATCTCCAAAATGAGTATGAGGAAAAAAATGCATAAACACTTCTCACATTCTTATTGGAATGTAACAACAAAGAAGTAACATTTTGTTTGCTTTCCCTCCCTACCCCTCAGGTCCGCACCAGTGTCCTACCTGATCACAAGGAACCAAGAGCAGATGTTGGGGTAAGCAATTGCTTTGATTAATTAATTTTTTAAAATTTTCTTTTTACTTCATCAGCAGACACAGACACCCACTGCTAAACAGGAGCTGACAAGCTTTTTTAATAGCAGAAGTTGGGTTAAATGAATAAAATAATTGAGGCAGGAGTGATGGTCTCAGTGATTGATGCGATCCCATTCACATCTTTTTGGAGAATCCTTTTCAACTGCAGTTATCCTGAGGCAAGCACAACTATCTAAACTTCCCACTACTGCCATGCAAGCAATCTGGGTGAGACTGAGAGCTTGGAATGGCATTGCCTCAGTGAACCTGGCCTGTCACCTTCTGGTGTGTGGAGTGTAAATGTTCTGCAGGAGAAGTTGCCTTTGGTTTGCCTTTTAAGAAATTTTACTGAGAATGTATAGAGGACTTATTTTTACGTGCAGATGTGTAGAACTTCTGACAAAAGTGTTGGGATGTCATTTCTGGGTCTGAGAAGGCTAAAACCTCCCAGATAATATGGGGGTGGAAAATGTTGGTCCTGCTGGAGCTGTCTAAAAGGCCAAAAACCATCTGGTGCAGTATTAGGTCTACATCTGCAAAAACATCAAATAACTATTTTTTTAAATTTTTAACCTAAGGTATTGACTTTTCTGCCTTTTCAGTGATTCCTTGGCATAGTTTTCAAGACTTCAGCTAGTGTTGGAAAAATCTGTAGCTTGGCAGCAAGTTCAACCTTAGTGAAGTAATCAGTGTCTTTCAACTTCTCATATAGCTATTCTAGAGACTTTTCTCTTTGGATAGCTGAGATTATTCATCAAACTACTTGAGTCACCTATCTTAAGATTTGTAATTGTAAGTACAACACTAGCAAAATTACAGAGGAACATTACTCTGCAATTAGTATTACAGCAGCAATTCTGTTTAAAGCCTACTTTTCAAGCCTCTCCAAGTCACATGTCCAGTTTGTAGACTGCCAGTTCAAACCCCAGAGTAGATTATTTGCATCTAAATCAGTATGGAAAAAGTTTTCTCCAGTATTGTTTGAGATTACAACCCTTGAACATTAGCATAACTCTCTTCATTTGGGTCCTGGGATAACTTAAAATTTTATTTGATTTTGCAAATACCTCTTGTGTTGTCAGGCAAAGAAAATTTTATTCTAAATAAACATAAAAATATGAAGCAGACAATTAAGTAGACAGTTTTAAGCCCATAAAATTATTCATGTTTAATTTCATGACCCTGGAGAACTAGATATGACACTCAGAGATGGTTAGTGGGTGCAATCCAAAGCTCTTGGATTGTGTAAGAGAGCAGTGTTCTTGGCCCTGATCGCATGAGGACTCTGACTTAGGATCCTTAAATGGATTTATAGTTCTGTTGTGCTGAAGACAGAAGCCCCAGGTGACCCAACCTTATATCAGTTTCATTCCAAATATCCCTCTCCCCCTTTCCAAATGGCCAGGTTTCAAATACAAGCACTCAAATGTCATGAAATGCCAGAATAAAGGCTGCCATATAGACACCGTGCTGGGGGATGTGATCTTACTGTACTAAGAAGGATATGCTCTTGTAAGAAGATAAATAATCTGAGCTGGCCGTGTGACCACAGAGCTTTAGTGAAGAAACACCATCATGTTGACTGATGTAAAGGAAGACAGAACTATCTGTGTGTTCACTTTTGCAAGGCTGTGCATCACTGTGTGTCGCTCCGGGATGTCTTTCTTGTAAAAGGACATTTCATTTTGGCAGTGAAAACTAACTGTGATCTTTGCTGGTATGGCTGCACTAATTGTCTCTATATATCCTACAGGCCTTTTTTGCTTCCTTACTTCATATTCCAAATCCACTGTTTTCCCAGCCTTCCTTAGACTCTCAACTTATGGTTTTTTTCCTTTACTGCTTTAATTGTCAATAAAAGTGTAGGAAATCTAAGCCTGTGTCGTTGATAGGAACAAGCCATAACTGATAGTTTAGTTTACCAAACTGGAGACCAGTGTTGGTGCCTACCTAATTTCAGAATTGGGATTTGGACTGTACATTTTATATGGAAGAAGGCCAATCTTAGTGTAGAGTTTTGTTATTCACATTCCAGTACTCAGTATCCAGCTGGCTTTCCCAAAGGAAAGTGGGCTGACCGGTTTTTTCACTACACTTCTCAGTAGCAACAGTTTCTTTTCTCTTTTTCCCTGAAGGGGTAAATTGTGCTCTGCGTGCAGCCCGTGTTGACTCAGAGTGACTTGATTCTTCTTTAATTTATATATCCAAAAATGTATATAATTTAGCCTGGAATTTTACTTTACCATTCCAACAGTAGAGTAAAATTAGTGTTGTGTAATAAAAATTCAACTTCGTGTAGTTCTTGTTGTTTTATTGCAACAATTGCACATAATCTTGTGATCTCATTACAGTTTATTCAGAGCAAGTGATACAGAGTTGTATATTTGAAAGATAAATGCAAAGAAGATGACTGTAGGCTGTTATTTTCTTTCCTATTGTTCCCAAGGCAAGAATACTGCTGTTTGCCAAGTTGACCAAATGGGATTTTAGCAATGTGCAGCAGGATATGAGCAGAGGTTAAAAAGTAACCAAAATGCAAAAGAAAATTTAATCTTTTTTCTCTTTGCACTATTTTTTTCATATGAAGGTGATTCTGATAGAAGGAAAAGATATAGTGGTATAGCTTGATTTAACTTTAGGCATTCTAGTTTCATTAACACGTTTCTCTGCACTTGTACCGCAGTGAATAGATCCACTTTACACTGGAAATAAAGAAAACAGGTACTTACAAACACTGCCATGAACTAGAGAAATATAACATTTCTGTTAATAAACTTGTGCTGAAATCAATTTAAAAATACCTTCTTTGCAAATACATTCATATTTGAAATACGTAGATGGTAGTTCCAAAGGCTTGAGGGAAAACCATAGCAAGAACAACTCTGATAAAACACTGAAAACTTAACACTTCTTGTAATCCAGAAATTAGAAATATAGAAAAAAAAAAGATGCAAAATGCAAATGCTTGTACTGAATGAAAATTTTCCTGTGGCTCTACATCTTACAAGCTGTTATTTTGTCAGGTTGTCAGATTGTTCTTAATGGAGAAAAGAAATGTTCCTGCCCATAAAACCAGATTTTTACCAATTAACTGATAATCATGCTATGGATGCGTAAAAAATTTCTAGTGGATAAAGTGTCAAACTATTATATTGAAATGCAGTATTTTTCTAGGTACCAAAGAAAGATTTCCAAGTGTGAGACCAAAAAAGGTAACAATTGAAAAATTAATGTATATGTTATCTTTTTTTTTTTCCACTTCGATTTCTAGAGAAGCTTCTTGGGCTGTGCAACTTTTAGAGTAGGAGATCTGGTAAAATCAAAGGAGCAACAGTTGACCCTTACCCTCAGGTAAGTGTTTTCCTGTGTTTTAAACCAAGCTGAATCAATAACCCTTGGCATTTCTCATCCAAAGAAGGCAACGAAGATGGTGAAGGGTCTGGAGCACATGTCAGATGAAGAGCAGCTGGGGGAGCTGGGAGCCTGGAGAAGAGGAGGCTCAAGGGAGACCTTATCACTGATGTGCAGTCAAACTGAAATTGTGGAGGGTGGGGGGTGTGATGTACAACTCTAATTAATGATGGCACAGAGCTGCAGGAGACTCAGAGCCAGTGTTCAAAACCTGGGGTTGGGCTGAACAGATACTTCTTAAAGCTGTGCACTGAAGGAAGAGAAAGTGTCTTGCATGGCTTAAGATAAATCAAGGTACAAATCAAGACAGTTTGAAGGTTAGGGGAAACCTTTTAGGTGGTGATTTTCAGAATAAATTCATTGGACTTTATACACTGCTGGGATTTTGTTGAGCTGATTTTTGCAAGCTCAGTGGAGGTTCATTTGGGATTAGTGGGAAGGTACAGGTAAGCTTCACAGAGCAACTGCTCAAACTCCCTGGGTATCTATACAGGCAACATTTTGGGAGAAAAGTGGGTGTGACTAGGAGAACTGAGACACTGGTATTTTTTGTCTGTGCTATTGTACATAGGTTCTGTAGAAAAATTGTGTTACATTTGTTATCCTGTGCATATGAAGCCAGCCTTAATTTGGCTTAAGGCCCAAGTTGTGACCTGTTCAGTGATGTTGTGGTACTGTCACTCTGTCAAGGACACTGCATTTTTTTTGAAATGGAAACTGCTTGAAGTATTTTGATTTTGTTACTGCACCTGCCTTCCTATTTCAGCAATATGAGTGTGTAGTTTACAGGACCAAGTTAACAAAATGCTTTGATTTTAATTTCTCACAAAGACAGAAAATGCCATGCCTAGCAAGCAGGTAACTTTGTCTAACAAACAAAACCAATTTAATAAAATGTGAACTAACTACTCTCTATGGAAATCTGTGGCTAGATAAATGATTTCATACAGGAATTCAAGTTGTCTCTAGTTTTTTGGGACAAACTTTGCCTCACTGACTGACGTATTGAGAACTTGATCTGAAAGATTGCCTCTGACAGGTGCCACAGTAGCTGACAGAATGTAAAGTTTCAGGAAAGTATCTAACCAATTTAATTGGTAAGCAAAAAGTTAAAATGGGTGACTCACGAGCAATAAATTGGCTTTTAATTCATATTTTTAGTCTTGTATGTCCTCTTCGTTCAGCTAACGTTAGAACACAAATGTACCAATTCAAATTAATTTGCAGATACAGTAAACAGTCGTTTTTAGTTAGTTGGATATTTTTTTTAAAGAAAAAAAAGTCCTCACCTTTCAAATGTGGGATTGTTTCCTGATTGTGGCTATTCAGCAGCAGAAAATCAATAGAAATTATGCACATTCCTTCAATGGCAGCTTAACCAGAGCAGCCTACTAATTTAAGCTTGCTTTTCTCTAATCACCCTATTATATTAGTACCTTTCAGGAGGACACAGGATATATCAAGTGACTTGTCAAAGCATGCAATTCTATTTAATTCTTGTTGATATACTTTGGATGGGAGTTTACCAGGGAGTGCCTGCGATCAAGATACTCCTTTGTTAGATTTGAAGTAGAGATTTAAGGACCCGGAAATAGCTCTGTGGTGTGCCCTGTAAATATTGGTGTAATTATAGACTCTGGTTACTTTTTAACTGGTTTTTTTTTTTTACTTTGTTTCCTTTTTTCTTTTTTTAGTTATTATGTCTGCCATTGTCTTTCTGAGGTGCAGTGTAAAAATATAAAAGTGATTTTTAAAGAATGTTCTTGTGGTTTTCTGTTACTTTGTGGAGAGCTGGCACACGTCTACAATTCCTTATTGTTGACAAACTGTGCTCTAATTTTCCCTTTTCCCACCATTGTACCCTAATAGTGACGAGGGACATAAGTTACACAACATCTGCAAAAGAAGTTTTTACTTTGATTGTCCTTTTTTTTCTATAAAGGTGCCTTAAACTGGTGGCTGAGTGTTCCTTGTGGATGTGTGCACCTATAGCTAATCATCAGAACATGGGCAGGTCGATTTGTAGAATTGCTTCAGTGTTGACAAAGTCCACAACTGATGTTGGCAGAAGAATTTAGTTGCTAGAGACCTGGGATTGCAGTTTCCAATACGAAATTTATAAAACCAGAATTGCCTTCCATAAAGTTCAGTGCTTAATTTTGCAGTGGTAATACAACACCACTTGCTTCCAGCTTTCTCACAGGGTTGTGGTGCTGAACAGGATAAAACAGACTATTGAATAAAACAAAAGCCTTATTCATTAGGGGAATATTTCTTGATATTGACTATGTGATATAGTGTATCCAATTAAAAAAAAAAGCATACATTTTCTCTGTAAAAAAACATATTTTTTTCTCTGTAAGTGAGAGTTACATATACTGTCTGCTAGTTTAGTAATTAAAACTGATGGGGGTTTCTTTAATTGATTTAAGTTTTAGTTTCAGTTTAGAGGACGTTTTTGCCATACCTTTCTGTTAAGAACAGCAAAAGGCGATGGGTTTTTTGCTTGGTTGAGGTCTGTGGCTTTTTGTAAAGCTAGCAGTTAGTACTTCCATTAGCTGCTTCCCCTGTGGTGTTAGTTTGCCTGTTTCCAGGAAAGTCCTCTTTAGCTTGGGCAGTTTTGGCATGGTTTCCAGTGAGTTACATGTAAGAAGCAGCAAAGGAAAAAGATAATAGTGCTCTCTTGTGTTCTCTGGAAAAATTAAGTACATCTGTCTGATGGACTCTTCTTAGCAGATGTAGTTTATCTGAGAGATTGTGTCTGTGGTGTCTGTCAGTCATGTACTGTACAGACCTTCTTTAAATGTGTGCCTGTGCTTGACCTCTTGGACAATACCTGTTTGTCTAGCAATCTGGTTTTTTTAGCTGTCTTATTTTCATTATTCTTGGACAGGACCGAACTTATTTCCTTTAACTAAAGGAGATAAACCATATTTATTTTTGGAAAGTTCAAAATAACAACTCAAAGACTTCATTAAAGAAAGTCCTCTTAACTTCCCTCCCTCCCAACACCTTGTAGTTCAGTGGGCCAGAAAACATGTAAATGCACTTCAGTAATAGTTACATTCACAATGTTTAAATAACTAGAGAGAATCTGAAAGTGGCACAGTAATTTTTGCAGTCGTTTATGTACTTGAAATAACTTCCCTAGCAAATGATGGCTATAAAATACTATAGTTGCTTTTTTTTCTATTAAAATTCAGTAGAAGTCTGCTTAAAACTAGTTTTACTTGGTCTCCATCCTGAAACTGTTTCTTGACTGCTTCATGTTATGTTATCCACCCAAGGAAACTGGTGAACAACAGCTTGCCTTTGTAAGTCAGGCAAATCTCCAATACAGTTGAGGTGAAACCTGTTTTGATATGAAACTTAATCAACTGTACATTGAAATAAAAAAAACCAGAAGGAATTTAACGTTGCAAGACTTTGTTTATTTACCTTAGAATGCAACAGAATGTCGTTTATGGGGGACTTGTTTAAAAAGTGGTATCAATTGGAGTAGGCTCCGCTGTGAATTCACAGAATAAACATTCTTTTGTGCAAGTACAATAGTTTTGTGCTTGGATATTTCAAAATATATTGCATCAGTGGAGAAATTAATTTTATGGCAATCTGTATGTTACTCTGTAATAATCACATTTATTTTGTATTATGCATTGGAGAAAGGGGCTGTCTGCTAGACTCAGTCATGCAGTTTGCTTTTCAGGCAGTAACTCATGCAGTAACTCACTTTGTCATTTATAATTAGCATAGCTATGCAAATATGCAGTCTGCCTCCCTTTTTCTTTGTGTTTTTGAACCTTTTTTTTGCTTTTTTTTTTTTTTTGGAAGAAAGGTATATGGCCAAGGGAACCAATTAGCAGGCTTAAATTTGCATATTCAACATCCAGTAATGCCACTTGATGAGATCAGCATTGAAGGCAAATGACTGCCATTCTCAGTCCACCTACCTTTCTTTTCCACCACTAACTTGTTACCTTCTTTCTCTCTGCATGCCTGGGCCAACCTGTTATGTCCAGAACTAGTAAGGTGGGCACATATTCCTGATGCACAGTGTTGTTCCTGGCTAACTCCTCCCCTGATACTGCCCTTGTGATCCTTAAGGAGTTGTGATGGTAAAGAAATCTATTTCAAATGTAGCTGCTCTGTGGATGGACATGAGATGATTTCTACTCCTTATCCCAGGCTGCTAAAATAATTGGCAATTTTCCAACTCTATAAGCCAGCTAGATTTTGTGCCTTATATGGGCTTCTTCACATTGACACTTTTAAAATTCTATTTGGTGTATTCCTCATCCCCACTGTCCCTATGCAGATTTGTCAAGGTACAGTTCTTTATTCTGCAGGGCTGTAGTATCTCCTGTTGGATGACTGTCCCTGCATCAAATTGCTCACAATCTTCACTGCACCATGTGAGTGCAGATTGCACTTTTCAGCTTTATTAAACTACAGCAAATAAGCTGGTTCTATCCTAATGCATTATGAAGTATCCTAAAACCAATTAATTACTCTCCTGATACTCTGTTGAAAAGTGTGTATGTGTGAGATTTTCTTCACGTTTTTCCAGGCACATTATGTGAATTGTGTCCGTGTGTGTGTGTGCACAATACTGTTAGTACAAAGTAAACTAATACAGATTTTTATCCTATTTAAGTATGATCGCTTGGCTATTTTTATTTTTCCCACTGCATCACTTCTGTTTCTCACTTTTAGTTTTCTTTCAAGTGAAATTTTAGTCCCATGATGTTGCTGGAAAGTTTTAAATGCATGACATGTCTTTTTGAGGAATGTCACACACCAGCGGAGTTTTAAAACCCCAGTGTCTGACACAGCTAATGACAGTTTTGCCCTGGGCATTTATAGAGCTCTTTGTTGATTTGTGTGCCTGTAGCATTAAAAAGAAACTTTGGTTTGGGGATTGTTATTTTTTTAAATTATGTTTTCATATTTCCATGTGGGAAGATAAGAACTGGAGGAAGGAGTACAGCTATAATGCAACAGTCCCACTGTTTAGTTTTATTCTGTTGCATTACCTTCTCTTGCAGATACTGCATGTTTCAGATTGTAATATTACAGGAGTCATTCTGAGAAGAAAATAATTGAAAAAAGTGAAATTAGATCAATCTTTTTTTTTAAAACATGTATGGAGAAAGCTTCCAAATATATATTGCTCCTCATGCAGGCAAGCAATGCAGTGCTGACGGCCATACAGAGGCCAAGCCTCTAATAACAGCAGCAAGGGGGAATATTTAGTGTTCTAAAGAACAAGAGACAAGGACTGAGAAAGCATAACTAGCATTTCCATTATTTTTTATTTTACTGCAGCAACATGCCATGTTGGCTTTTATCAGTTCATTTGCCAACTGAGCTCCATTTTGCTCAGCATTTGTTTATACTCTTAATTTACCCTGATGTAGTTTTAAATCGGATCTGGTTTATGTAGGTCAGTCTCAGACTTGCTGGTCTCTCTGGCCTTAGAAATATGTGTTCCCTGAAAAAAGAATGAGTAGGATGTTACTTCTGGAAGTCAAATGAACGCAGGTTTTTCCTTTTAGACCAGGGTAGCAGCAAAGTGCTATTGCATATTAAAGTCAGCCTGGTAATGATGTCTCCCACCTAACACTTTGATCAGGACCGGTTAAGCTGTTGAAAAATTTTCAGTCTTATAACCACACACTTACTCTGGTTTTTAAAGGTTTTGCTAAGATCTGTTGTATTCCATTTCTTCTTGGGAAGCTGCAGTCCATTTGTTGCATAGCCTAGTTCGTGTGCTGGTTTGACACAAGAAGGAGAAAACAAATGAAGTCAAACCACTAAGCTATAACAAGTCAGGGGAATGTTCTTCTTTCAGAAGACACTGAAGTTGTTGTCATGCATTTCAAAATCATTAGGTATTTTTGCTCATAAACACCATTTGGACATTGAACACAACTTTTACTTTTCTTCTGCATACTTTGTTAATTAATGTTAATTAGTTTCTGATTCCAAGGCTGTCTGGAATTGCTTAATTTTCATTGTTCCTGTATTTTATTTTCGGTAATCAATTTGGCTTAAAGTGACACACGTAAAATATGAAGGATTACGTTTATTTTGCGAGGTTTTACATGAGAACGTATTTGGATAGCTGCAAGATAGGTGGATTCTACTGGGTGCTTAAGTGTTTGCAACCAAAATTATTATTTAAATTTGAAGCTTGGGGGTAACCATTTTTTGAGACTTTACTGTAGGGCATGAAGGTTTTGATTTAGCATGGTAAATATATATCCAGGCCTGAAAAGACCAACGTATATGCTTAGCTTTAGTCAGTGTAAAGAGCTGGCGTACTCTGATTTATTTGAGACCTTATACTCCATGCGCAAATACAGATTATGGAGAATTGTGGGAGCTCAAGGCAGAGACATGGTCCTCCTGCCTGGGGCACAAGTGCTCTGGGAAAGCCTGCCTGTTGCAGAAGGCAGCACGGGAAGGCTGAGCTGGGCAGAGCAGGAGACACAATCCCTGTGGATGTGGTGCTGCTCACGGGCCCTCAGTGCCAGAGTGGGAGCAGGAATTGGGCTGTGCTGGGACTGGCACCTCCATGTAGCACTGCACTGGACCACTGTCTTTCTCCTGGTTGCTGAAATGAGGATAAAGGTGTTTAGGGGATTTTCCCTTCTTTGCTAAAGTAATGTGAGGACTATTTTTTGAAGTTCTGGAAGGGCGTCAGTGTTGAAGGGGATGTTTTCCTGCAGCATGGATTGCCCTAGAAATGTGGCAGTTTTTAATGGGAAACACTTTTTTCTTATATTCCTGTTTCTAAAAGTTCCTTTTTCTTTTCAGCTTTCTAATCACTTTTCTATGTATTCCTTTGTCCTGCTTCACCACTGTTCATTTTCACTCCTGAGGTTATACGCGGTATTGCTCCAAACATGGGTTTTTTTGATTCTCCCTCCTCTCTGTGTTTTTGCAATTCTGATGCACTTCTTCTCATCATTTCCTTTTGCCTATTTGGCTTGGTCCCTGTTGTTATACTTTCCTCACTGTTATTAAATGGTCTGTTACCCTTCTTTCCTTCCTTTCAAAAAATCCAGCTGTTCAGAATAAGCCAGGGGAGATAGACTGTGCCATTAACCTTGGTGCTTTGCTACCAGTAAGAGCTGAAAAAGCATTCAGTATCTTTTTAGAGTTTAAACTCTTGTCTCTTCCAAAAGGTAATGAGCAATACTCTTTTTTTGGAGATGTGAATTTGAATTGATATTTGTTTTTACTTAATTAGAAATAAACTCTTTTTGGAGATGATAATAAAGGAATTCACCTGGAACTGTATTGTCATCTCCCTTATATTTCAAGAAATGGGATGGATTCTGAATAATTGCTCTGCAAAAAGACAATGAAGGGAAAAGTGATGTTCAGATTAGTTTCATTATTTTGGTTTCACAGGAGTTTTATTTATACTGAGTATGTCCTTTCTTCACAGGTTGTGTTAGAAAACAAAGTGAGGTCCTGTGCAGTGGGATTGCAGGTCATAAATGGAGTATTGTTGCAATGTCACAGTCCTTTCTCTGGTAGTCCACAGACAGAATAATGCCTAGAATGAAAACTTGGCAGCGTTCATGGATTCATTTATAGCATTTACCCATCCTCAGTTTTGTGATGAAAACTTTCATTGCCATAAAGAATTTGCCTCACTGTTAACATTTGGTTTATGATTGCCAATAATGAATTTAATGCAGGTGACTGAAGCTATGCAGAATGAAGAGGGGACTAAATGTTTACTGGTAATATTTTTACTGAAAGAATTTGATGCTCAGGTTGGTTTTCTTTGGCACAGATATTTTTATTTTTTTTTTCCCAGAACTTCTGATGGTGGAAAGGCAGTTGGTACCATTGAGGTCAATCTGGTGAAGATGGGAGAGCTGGAGGATGGGGAAACAGACCACATCACAACAGATACCCAAGATCAAAAGGTAAAAACTAAGTTTATTGCGCAAGTTAATTAAATGATCAACCGTACCAAATGTCTAAAATACTAATTCCAAATTGGGTCAACAACTTAATAAAAAATTTCTGGAGTAAAGTACTATGTATGCAATTTCCCTAAACTAAAAATGATTTTTCATGAAAATACACCTACCTGAAAGGAGTTTGTAGCCAGGTGGGGGTTGGTCTCTTCTCCTGGGCAGCTCTCAGTAAGGCAAGAGGGCACGGTCTTAAGCTGTGCCAGGGGAGGTTTAGGTTAGATATTAGGAAGAAATTCTTTACAGAGAGGGTAACGAGGCATTGGAATGGGCTGCCCAGGGAAGTGGTGGATTCACCATCCCTGGAGGTTTTTAAGATGAGACTGGATGTGGCACTCAGTGCCATGGCCTAGTAACCACAGTGGTGTTGATGATCTCGGAGGTCCCTTCCAACCTGGCTGATTCTGTGATTCTGTGACACACAGAGTAATATTCTAACCTGAATTTCCTAGTCTCTCCCCTTCTTTAGGAAAAAAATAGCTTTTATGGATCTTAGCTGAATGATTTAATCACTCGTGATCAAAAAACTGTCCATAGAGATGCCATAAATATGACTTTTTTTCCTTGCTCTGTTTTCTGCCCTTGAAATCTTGTTCACGTTGAGTTTTGTGTGCAACCTGTGCCCACAATACTGAAAGGCTGGAAAGAATGACAGGCAAGCCAAAGAAGAGGTGAATTCCCTCACAGAGGGACAGGTTTTCGCTGCATTTCATGGGAGCACACAGCAGTGGGGAAAACCAGCAGGAGGGACAACACTGCAGTGGTGCCTCAGAGCATAGGGCAGGGTTTATAGGAGGATGTGTGTAGGGATTCTGAGTCAGGGTGTTCATGGTGAGGGACAAGAGGAAGGACAGAAGGGCTCAGACAAACCATAAAAGCTTTGAAGTAGGCACATTGCTGCAGGGAAAACCAGTGGGGACTGGAGCTGGGGATGATACAGAGGGAGTGGGTTTGAGAGGAATGGAGAACCAGCAGAGGAAGGGTGGAATGGGTATACTGTCTCTGGGATGACAAGAGGTTTGAGCTCGGAAAACATACAGAAATGACTGCTCAGAATGAGGAAATCTGGGTTTAAATGATTTGCATCTAATAAAAAGGTGTCTTTAACTGGGTCCCCTGACTGATGGCAACTGATGTGCCTGTACAGAATTGCCTCCTCCTGGTATCTCTGGCTCTGCAGCCCCATTTGCACTGACAGAGAATGCAGCAGTATGATGGTGTACTGCTGAATACTATGGTGAATTCTCTTCTTCATGGAAAAAAAAATATTGCCACAGGGAATGTAGACTGAAGAACTGCATTTTTTTTTGGAAGTAATATAAACTGTACTTTTTGAGAAAAGTACTTGTTTTCGATATCTTTTCTGCTCAACCAAGCCTGTCTGGTTTTGGGTCACATTCTGAGGATGGATTTTACACTTTTTTTTCACCATTCGTCTCAAAGGACTTCAATGCCCTTTTAAAACAATAAATGATTAGTACCAGTTCCAAAGAAGCCAAAAAACTCTGTGAAATCTTTCTGAACTATAGAACTTCCATGAGATATGCAACATGAGCTGATTTTACAACCTTCTCTTTCATTTTTCTTCCATTTCAAAATGTGAAATGAGACTCTTCAGAATTATTTGAGATGTAATTAATGAGCTGTGTCTAGCCTGGGGGAGACAGAAGGCTTTAATAGCATCTTTCTAGGGGGTTCTAATACTTGTCAAGAAAGACCAGCCTTGTGACAGATGTATTTTCTGTGGTCTTTAAAAGAATCCTTAGTTTGTACAGATTAGTTGAATTTTAGAGTCATATGTTTGTTGTGAGAATGCAAGTGTGAGAATGTACAGTTACTGAATTACTTCAAATAATTAAGTTTTGAACTAGGTTTTCTGCCTCATTAGATAAACTATGTGCAGGGAATTTCTCTTGGAAGGGGAAGGTGATGGTTAAATTCCATTTCAGATATCAACTGGTAGAGAGCACATCAGGTCTTGCTCTCTGCTTTAAGCTGTGCAACAGAACTTCAAGAAACTGGGGAAGCCCTGGGGACAGAGCTCCCTCTCACCTTTAGAGGCTGTCTGGGTTTATTTTATGACTGGGTGGAGGAGGAGCATTAAAAATACACTTCCTACTAAGTTTAACATAGGTGTACACTGGTTCATTCTTCAATAAAACATCAAAGAAATCTTCCAGGTCACTTGTATAACAAATTGCTTCAATCGCAAACCGCGAGCGCATTTTAAAGACTTTTTTGCGGTTCCTACTTCTCCCTTGTTTAAAAATTAATGGAGTGTTTTCTCACACTATGCATGTGAAAACTGCCTTGCTTAAAGAAACCTCTTTGAAAGCACAAAACTTGTCAGGAAGTTTTTTAAACCATAAGTGATTTATTCTTATTTGAGACATATACTTATTAAGCTAAACTGCTAGTATCTCTCCATGCTTCTGCCACTGCACTGGTAGGAAACCTTTCTGTTTTATTATGGAATGGCTGATCATATTTTGTCATTTTTTCAGCTGTAATTCAGATTGTGTTACAGTATACTGAAACAGAAATATAAGGAAAAAAGTGTAAATTATAATTAAGGGCTGAGAAGTTACATCATCAGTGATGGTTTTCCCATGGTTTATAAACTACTATGGATTTCTTAGACAGCTGAATTTGCTGCATTTGTGGTTGTATTTCTTTTGCAGTGTGCATTGGTTCGGGAATGTATGGCCACTGAAGGCATAAGTGGGAAAGACAACCTGCCCTCATTAAATGCAGGTGAGTTTTCTAACATTTGTAGAAGGTGACTGTTGCAATGCTATGTCAGGTCCTGAGGAAATCACGAAGATTTGCGTCAGAGCTTGTTAAATGCTCTTCAAATGTTGCACAGATGTTTAAGTTCAGTATTTTAATGTTTTATGCATGTGTGACGGTATCATTTTACTGAGAAACACAAGGAAATATATGTGAATTATGCTATCTGAAGCAGTGCTAAAATTTCCATCACCCACATCTTTACCATTCAATGATTTTCAAGTCTGTCAGTGACTTCCATGGACATGGAATCATAAGTTTCTGGCATGTCATTGCATGACATTCTGTTAAATAATTGTACATTATTTGTAACTGAATACCTGGGAGAACTAATCTCTCCCATAGTTGATGAAGTGGCAGTTTCAGTTTGATCTGAAAGCTATGTGTCCTAAAATGAAGGGAGCTGTTGGCAAGGCATTCTCAGTTCTAGGTCAACTCTGGGCTTGAGTGTATGGTGTTAAACTGGATCTATTTCTCTTTCATTATACTGAGAAATATTACATGCTGATATGCTGCACCATAAAAGTTTTATTAGCCCAAGTTTATGAATCTCCATTACTCTGCAGTAACAGTGTCACAAATAAGTTATATGGGTCATCTGAAACCACAGTGCTGTCAAGAATTCTGGGTATTTGCTGCATACAGTTGAGGAGAACTGTTACTGAAGTTTTAGAACCTCTGCTGAAACTTTTTCCTATGACTTCTCTCGTAGGACAGACTTATCCAACTAGCTTTTCAGTTTAAAGGAAGCACTAGAACCCTCTCAAAATTTTTTCCATATATGTTTGAATGCTGTAATTTTTTTCTGTGACCTGTTGAGACTCAATTAGAAGCAAGGGAAAAATTTCTCCTATGGAACTGCTCTTTCTTTTCGTCAGTTCAATGCGAGACTAGATATGTTTGTGAAAGGATGTTAGTTGAGAATTACTGAATGTACAGGAACTACATCTGGCTCTAGAAATTCCTGAAGTGGAAATAGCTGGAGGCAGGGAGAGTATCTTGCCTCTCTAGGTATCTATTTATGGCATTTCTTGGAGACAAGATACAGAGCCAGTTGAACAATTTGGTCTAATTCAGTGCAGCCATTCTTTGATTATGATTCCAAATGTCACCCAGATAAGTGGGTCTTAAAGAAATGACATTTCTGTTCAGAGAAAATGTTGCTTTCACAACTGATTTCTTCCTGTTTGCTGCCTCCATTGTGTGTGTTTGATTGAGGTTTTTTTGTTAAGTTCTTTTGGATGGGGAAATGCTGCAGTTTGGGGAATGTATTTTGTTGGAATTTCCAAGGTAGATGTCAGTTTTGTGAATACTGAAGTCTAGATCACTTTGTCAAGAGTATTTGCATGTTATTCCACAGTGTATCTAGACAGCACTTGGCATTTGTTGTTCTCATATACACACACACAATATGAAGCCTAAATCCCATCCGACATTACTGGGGTTTATAAAATCAAACATATCATGGAAGGGTTTTTTTGTAGGGTTTTTTTAGGGTTCTTTTAAAGAATTGAAGGGAAAGAGCAGAATTGCAGCTGCATATGCAAGAAATGACAGCATGCAGGATATTGGAAAGAGTTTGCAGCCACAGGAAGTTTGTTCTAATAAATACTTACTCTTCAGTCTGTTTCCTGTGCTTGTGGCTTTCTCTTCTCACCTCAGCATTGCCTCCACTTTCCTGTTGACACCAGGCACTGGTTCCAGGTTTTGTCAGTCCCAGTCTTTTTGCTGAATTCCCAATTTGTTTTCTTAGAAAGTTTTAGCTCCCCTACTATACTGTCAGCCTCTTTGCCCAACGCACCAGACTTCTCCCCCAGCGTGACTCCATGCCTGGGCTTCATGTGAATTAAAGCACTCTGTGTTGCCTGGAGACTGGATTTCTCATATGGGTACCTGGGCTGCCCTTAAGCATCTTGCAGCACACATTGGCTCTGCCAAAAATGTACTCCTCCACTGTGTATGAATGACGTGCAGTTTTGTTGGTACTAGAAGCTGGGAAGGATGCAAGAATTTTCAGTAAAGGTAAACCCTTGGTGCATGTATGAGTTGTTTAGTTCAAGTTTTGAGGTTTTACATACTGAGATTTCTTTGCCAAGGCTGATGCCATTGTTGGATCTGGCTGCATTGCCATGGGTATGGGGAAATGCACAGCTCTGTAAAAAATGTAATATCAGAATTCAAGTTTATAAAGTGCAGAACTTTGTATTGCAAATTTCTGGCTTCATTCTGTGCAGCTGGACCATCTTAACTGAAAATTTAACAAGAATTAATCAGTTTAAGCCAGACAAATTTCAGTATGGCAGAAGTGGAGGCAACTGAAAACAAGAATTGAAGGGCAAGAAACAGGAGCAGTAATGGGATAGAAGTGTCAGGGAACCTGATAACATCAACGTTGCCTGCAGTGTTTTCCCTGCTGGGTACATACAGAACTATCCACAGTACAGCATGTATTTCATGTGCATATATATTCAGTACATGTGTATATTGTTGTAAAGATTTCTGGTACTTTCTGTTTCTTGTTGTTTATCAGGCCTTCAAAACGAGGGAGCTGAAAAAAATACCCCTGTGTGAATCTTTTAAGCCTGTAGGGGTAAATGTACGTTGGCATTCTTCTCAAATTTAAATCTTAATATAGGGAACTCGCAGCCCTCAAGTGAGTTGTGTGATGCTTATTGAGTGGGAATGAGTAGTGTGTTTCAGAGCCTGATCACTATTCTGTTTATACCCCAAGAGTCTGAATTTCTGTCTCAAAATTCAGTTATTTATTTATAATGTGGGAGAGCTTGCCAGTTGTTTGCATGTAAAGAAATTGTACTTTACAATAAAAAAGAGAATAAAAGCAATTGAAATTAAGCAAAAATTAAGGAAGCTACAATTACTCTTCCTAAAGTAATATACTTAATACACCTGTGTTGCAGAGGAAGATATAAATAGAAACACTCTTAGTAAATTAGTATATGACAGTGATATGCTTTGATCTGTGTTCAATAGGGAACAAAAATAAAAACAGGTTATTTTTTTTTTTTATTTAACATATGGGGAAGCAGATTATTATATTTTTATTTTTCTTATAGGATATTGCATGGAATAAAAAGCACAGAGATCTTCAAATTGAAAAAAGAATGTGTAAAAATATGGATGGTTAAATATATGGTACTGGCTTTTAGGCTTCATGCTATATAGAAAAGCTTTTAAAATAGGTTTTTCTCTTTTTTTTTAACCGCAGATGTTCATGTGGATTTCATTTTTTTCAATGCCTCTCATGATCACAGTCTAAATACAGGAAGGGTTACCTTTATGAAACCTTCACTCATTTTAATAACTACTTTTTATAAAAAACAGATCTAGTCTTGCCATTCTTACTGTTTCAGTGGTTTTACATGCCTTCTAGAATTCTGTTCTAGACAACTTGCTTTAATTGGAAAGCAATTATTGTTGTAATTGAAAAGGAAGATACTTCTGAGGTTTTTCTGTTTATAAGAAAAACATCAAGTATGGCGCAGCTTTTATGGACAACCTCAAGCTTTAGCAATATTGTATATTGGAATTATTTTGATTCCTTGTGAAAAATTCCCAGACTTTTTTCTGAGTTTGTAAATAAAATTTTCTTCTTAAACCCATGGAGAAATGTTTTGATCATTTTTTTAAAACTTACAACACACTTGAGATTATCCTCATCTGAAAATTCAGACCTGAATCAAAGACCCTAAAATTCAGCTAGTACTTGAAGTGTAGTTTAATAATTCTAACCATGATAAAAGTCACAACTTTGGATCCGTATTTTCGGAGTGATTCTTAGTCTCCCTTGCTATCATGCTGCAGTACTGACAGGTTTTCTGTTTCATTTTGTTTTTTTCCCATGGTGATGGTGGTGAAAGTGGAGAGATGGGAAGAAAAAGATTGTGCAGCTACATATGTGCATTAGGTTCTCACAGATAAATGTGAATTTTTCAGTGTAATATGCTCTGAGTGCAAATGTAAGAGCTGTTCTTGGAAAAACATCCTGTGATAAATTTTATAGGAAATAGCTATAAAAAAGTAAAATAAAGAAAAAGAGTCTTTTGTGTCTGTGGAATCATCATTTGAAATGTCCTGGTAATAAGTACCAACCTGCTTCCTACTAAGCAGGTGGCACAAAGGAAAAAACAAACCCAAACCAAAATTATCATCTGGTTTGGCAGTTTTCTGTTTAAGGGCAGACCTGAATTAGCCCTTAGTTTCTTGAGCTCTCCCTGGCATCTGAAAATTTACATTCTCTCTCTTGATGATTGATGCCATATATCTGCTTTGTGAACTGATAGAAACTGTTAATATTATTGACAAAACTGATATTGTCAATTAGAAGAATCTCAGCAAAAAAGGAGGAAAATAAGGAATATGCATTGCAGCATATTTTAATCAAGTGGTACAATAAAGCCCAGACACTGAGTGTAAGTTGATTGTAGGAACAAGACTTGGAGATGCTTTTTTTGTAGTGGACAGTAGTTAAGTCTGTGTGGAGAGGATTATCAAGCTGTAAAGATGCTTGAACATTAAGGTATTTGGGGTGTTAGTAGAAAAAAAAAATCTGTTATTCATTTGCCATAGCTATCAAGCATCTCTTAGGCTTATTTCATAACAGTTAAGTCAGAATTTAGTTTTTAAAATTAAAATCACTAATAACTAAAGGCAAAATGACTCTAAAAAAGCTTCCAGGTTTTTTATCAGACTAGTGATGAAAGACATCTCAATAGAGTGATGGAAATAGAAAGCAATACACCTGCAATTACTTAAAACATGATTACTTACCGCATTTCTTTCTTTGAGTTACCAGCAATGGGTTCATTACAGGTGTCTTTGAATCTCTAGTCTTGTTGCTTAAAGGACTTCTTTTAAAAAAGTTTTCTTAGACAGACAGCACAGTTTGTGTATCTTTAATGTCTTCGTCTGTGTTTTTCATTCTCTATAAGTCAGCCTATCTAAACGTTAATGGTGGCAGTGAGTTGTGAAGTTGAAACTTCTGTTAGTAGGTGTCATTTTGACAGCAGTAGTTTCCTTGCTGCCCACATGGGGAATGCATTCCTTTGAGTTATAGACCACTCAGTGGCAGATCAATGGGAGCCTGCTGTAAGGCAGCTTTTACCAGGAGGCTTGTAGAAAGGTGCCATTGGAGGATTTGGATGGCTGTCCAAAGGCATTCTGTGTTAGGAAACAGCAGATGTGTGTGTTAAATGACAATCATTTGTCTCCCAGTGAGCTTATCAGAGTAGTCAAATAGAACTACTTTTTTTCTCAGCTTTTTCTCTTATCTATTCTTTCTGGAAAATAAGAGGGTAAAAAAAAGATGGAAAGGAGGCAGGTAGAAATTTCCCACCTTTATTGTGGTGCATCGTTGTAAGATCTGAATGGAAGCGTAGCCAACGTGGGAGAACTTTAAAATGAAAAGCATGGCAGGTTTTAAGCATAATCTTCAAAGACACCAAGTAACATGATTTTCCCATGTCAAGTTACAATGGTGATCTGAGAACAGCACGTGTAACATATTGACAGGACTGATGTGTTTTATTTCTATGGAGTGACAGTCTCTTGATGACACCAATGATCAAGGTAACTCTCAAATGGCATCCTCAGGACCATACAAAGGTCAAGTTTCCTGTGATGTAGATGCACACATTCTATTTGTGTTAATGATTTCTGTGTGTGCATATCATGGAGAAGATGCATCAGATACATTTAAACTCTGAGTCATGCTTCATTTGTTCTGTGCAATTTATTAGCATTGTGATTCTAGCAAGTGGTGAGCGATGGTGGGGACTGTATGTGTGTTCATAGTTTATTTGTGCATTCTCTTTCTCTTAACTGTATCTTAAATGTGAGAAAAAAGAGTATAATATATACTGAAATATTAAATTCACAGGTTGCCTGCTATGCTGGTAAAATGTGATTTATCTACTGTACTAGTAATACTTTGTCCTCCACATGCTGCTATAAAAAATTAAATAAAAATTCAACATTTTTAATAGAATCGTAATGGTTCTAAAATTAATTCTTTAAGCAAGGGGGAAAATAATGTATTATTTTTCCGTGAAATGGTTGTCATAAATTTTCAGAGAGTCATATAACCACAGTAAAGCAATGATATATCTTTTTCCTCTCTGCAGTGCTAAAAAACCCAATCTGTAAGTTATATAGATTCCCTACTTCTGACAACAAGTGGATGCGGATCCGGGAACAGATGGCTGAGACCACCCTCTCTTTCCATGTTCCTAAAGAACTAATAAATCTGCACATAAAGGAGGATATGAGAAGGTAAGGAGGAAGAAAAAGAAGCAATAGTAAATACTAAATTCTGGTTTTGTGAGTCGGGATCATGCAAGTGATGAGCTAAAAATATTAATTTGTAGTATGAAATGGGCAAAATACAGTGATCTTTCTGGCTGCTAAAAATTTACAGCTGTAACTGAACAACAGAATTGATTACTCGGAATTTTTAGGACTCTAATGACCTCATAAGTTCTGAGCAATGAACTGTGCTAGAGTGTGGTCATGACTTTAAATCCGTGAAGGTCAACATTTGGCTAACAACATGAATACTTTGAAAAGTTAACATTTTATAAAGAAGCAGCACGTGACTAGGGTGTGAACAACACTATAGTGTGTCTGGCTTTGTGTCTGGGTAGTGCTAATATCACAGACAAACATTATGCAGACAATGGAAAATGACAAGTTTGTAGTTAATAAAGGAGCAATGAGAAGAAAAATCTCCTCTTGCTAATGTAAATTACTTGGCTTAAGAAAAGGGTACCAAAGTAATGTATGTTTGAAATCTTGATTCATGTTTGGCAAGAGGGACATCTGAGAATTATTACAATATGTATGGCCTGGGAGAAAAGGAGGATAGGGAACACAAGTGTCCCAAAATCCTTTGTATGTGCAAATTCCCACTGCAATGACTAAAATGACAACTTGTCCTCCAATCCTTGTAAGCTGTGCTGATAAAACTGTGGAAAAAACCCATTATTTTAAGCAGTCCAGGGCTTCCCTGAAAACAATGCCTTCTTTTTCCAATGATAGTGGATGATGTAGAAGAAGATATTGCCTCTTTCTCCATGAAAGTTGCCTTGCACCTAGACAGGCATCTGATCTCATGTGTGAGAGAGCTGGTGCTGCATCCCAAAGCCAACCTGTGCACTTTCAGAAAATCCCTTCCATCAGAGGGGCTTGCCTGTTATTGTTTACAGAGGTTTGTCCTGCAATATGGAGCTTCTTTTCTTCTGTGTTTACCCCATCTGTTGCTTCTGTATGATCTTTTTATGCCAATAGAGCAGCATGTGGGAGACCAGAATCTTGATTTTAATAAAGTCAGTGGACTGGTACATACTTATGCATGGTAATGATGAGTTATAAAAATCCTATGAATTGTTATAATGCTTTATTTTATTCATGTAATACTGTGCTTAGGCATTTATAGCCTCATCTTGTTTGAGAATACTAATATGTAGGTTTTTTTTTTTTAGTAAGCAATAAAAATAGATTATGCTGACTTGCACAGTTCATGCACTTCCCAGATTTTCATTTGCCCCACGGGTAAATGCTTTTTAAATGTTAGAGGATTGCTTTAACCACTTGGATTGCTTTAACCACTTTTACTATTACTCTACTATTCTCTCCAAAGGCAAAATGCAAATAATAGCCCTTGCTGTTATTTCGTATTATAGAACTCACCCCTTTGGATAAACTGTTAGTAAAGAATCACCTTGGTGTTTTGGTTTTTTTTCCCCCATGATTACTCAATACTCCCCAAAATACAGAAAAACTTTGAGAAAGAAACAGAAGTAAAAGTTGCTCAAAGATTGAGGGAAGTGGTTCAGGTTTTCCTGGCTGCCAATGTGGTTAAGCTGTTCAAGCCTAGGAGAAAATGTGGGTGTGAAAGAGAGACAAGGTGGGAATAGGGGCATCTGTGTCATCTATCATCATAGAAGTCTGTAGATCAGAGCTTCAGCTTTGCTTTTTGAAATAATTGCAAAGATGTCTGTTCTTGGGGAGTCCTTACATTTGTCAGCTAGGAAAACACGTTAGGAGGATGTTATTATGTTAGTTATTAACTTACACAAAACTTAAATTGTACCATTTTTAGGCTATTCTCTTCTAGAGTATCCTTCTCTGTGTCTTTTTTCCCCAATTATTATAAAAGAATAAATATTTTTGTCTCAGACGTCACTTCTTATCATCCTCAGCCTGTTTCATTTTGTTCCTATTGGGGCTTCAGTATAGTCAGCAATTACCTTTAAAAAATATGCAAGTGCTAATAAGTGTTAACAAGTGTTATAAGTGTTAATCCCATTCAGTATTGCATTTTAAATTGTAGTTTATGTTCCCTTTTCTCTTAGCTTTTCAGATTGTTTATCTCTTGATAAAACTAGTGTTCATTGTTAACCAAATAATTTGATTTACTGACATGATACTCTGAAGTATGTAACCACTGAGGATTTTTAACTTTGGTTTTCAGCATGAAATAATGTTTTTAAAGAAATGCATGCATTAAAGATTTTTTCATTCAAACCTCCCTGGAAGAAGTTTTAATAGGAGTTATATGGTAATTTGTATTGTTCTAATAAGGATCATACAGTCTGCATTGCTGGTTTTTATCATTCAACTATTTCTTTTTCCTCTTTGAGGTGCTCCAATGAGTCCTTTCCCCTGGTTTTAGCATGTCTTCACACAAATCTTGTCCAGATATTTTATATATGTCATGCAAGATTAGCCAAGTAGTTCTTTGAACCTAATGATTATAAAAAAGACTTAGTTTACAGTAACTGTTCAGGAAGTTGGTTGACTCACATAATTGAAGCTTGCAGTTGTAGATGTAACTGGATCTGCACAGCAAGAGAATTAGGAGACTATAGCAGAAGCTGCAGCACATGTCTTTCAGATTCTTTTGAGTTCTTGATTCTTTTGAAGTTCTTTTGAGTCCCTTGAAACCAAACTCAGATTTGGCTGTAAGGAAATTCCACCTATACTTGAATTTGGCCCATGGCATTTGTGATCACAAGTCATAAACAAATTTCTTGGATAAATTGCTGAACTTGAACCCCCTCTCCAGGGTGCAAAGCACACTCAACCTTTCCTCCTGCATCAGGAATGACTGTCCCATCCCATCACCAATGGCCTTTTTTGTGCAAATCTGTGCTGTCTGTCTGGTTTTTGTTTCTTTCCTGTAACATAATGGAACGATGACAAAGTTCAGACTGTCTGAAAGATGTATGTTTTTCTACTTCCTTTTATTGCACAACTTCTATAGAGAAGTGGAACCCCAGGCAGAAATGCCACGTGTTGGGAGTAGGCTTTGGTTTTTCTGGACCTTTGTATGTTAGTTTTCACATGACTTGTTTTAGAGCAGTTGCACTGCAAACCCATTGTATTGATAAGAGGCAATAGCATTAAATAAAAGGGATTTGGGGTAAACTTACTATGACTTCTGAAGCTGTTTGAACCAACCACGTTGAGACAGGCACTGTTAATACACCTACACACTTAAGGACTTTCAAAACATTACTTCTACTAAGTATCTTGCGTGAATATTCGTAGAAATAATCTTTTTGACGCTTAAAAAATTCCCAGATTTGTCAGTAAAACATAGCTCAAATACATGCATGTGCAGTATTTACCCCACTGTGCATCCAAAGGCATGTGAAACCTCTCTGTTCTTACTGTCTACCAGTTGCTGCATAGAGGAATATAAGCATATGAACAGAAGTATAACTTGAATTTTGTAAGCAGTGTTTAGACAATTGTCCTACTCAAACAAGATCAGTTTAAAAACCATTTATTTATAAACTAAAGGATAAAATATTGTAATGTATTAACACTACATAGTTCTCTGTCCTCTTGCTGTTCACCACTGATTTTGGAAAAGATGACCTCTGTAAAAGTCTAAGAGGAGTTTTCATATGTAGCATATGTGACAGTGTAGTGCATTGGAATGTAGTAACATCACCTGATTTGTTTTGTGACAGGTACCTCTACATAACATTACTTATCTTGCTTATATTGTGGAAGTGAAGCAACATTGTCTTAAGCTGGTTCCAGTGTTTTCTGATGAAACAATAAGAATAAAAAAATAACCGAACAAAACACCCTTAAAAATTCTGTACAGTATTACTAACTACTAAAATATAATTTAGGATTAACATGTAAATTCCAGAGGTGCCATTCTGAGTATTACTGAATTCGAGACCTTTCTGCAAATGTCTGGTGCAGGAGAATTATCCTCTGCTATTAAATGTAAATCATAGAATTAACCTCAAATGGTCATGCTGTTTGAAGATGTTGAGTCTTTCAGAGATAAATCCAGGTAATAAATTATCCAAGGAAGGGAAAGAGTTCGGAAGGGAAGGAGTGAGAAAGTGGGTTTAATTTAGCTTATATGTTGTCTACACTTTTGGATAATAAAAAGGGGATGGTAGTGGATAGAAATGAAAAAGGAACTTAAAAACTTCAGGTCTTAGGAACAACATAAAATGTTATCAAGTTTTTGCAAATCCCACTCAATTCTCCATATATACATTGAAAAACAGGTTTTAAAATATTTTTTAATGTAATTGTTGGCTTGGCTTTTTTTGGGTTGAGTAGTTTGCTCATGTGATTTTGATGGGATTTTTTGTGGGGTTTTATTTGTTGGGGTTTTTTTTAAACGTTTATGACATCCAAAAGGTAGGCACAACCTACATTGTAATTTTTAGTTGCTTGTCAGGTTAGACTTACTAAAACCTGGAATAGTTTTAGGAAATTCTGTAAGAAGATGAAAATGGTAACTGTTTTCAATAGGTTCTAAATGAAAACTATTACAAAAGAGAGAAAAATATGCTTTTATTCATTTTTGTGGTAGCTTCCCCAGAAGGGATTATATCCTCCTTAGTAGTTATTTGTCTGTTTTAGAAACAATATAGTGAAAAGGCTATGATTCTTTTCTTTCTGGAGAGAATGTTGTATTGCTTGCATGGGGTTTATTGCCTGTATATCACAGGACCATAACTTGTGCTAAAGAAAAATGAGAGTAATCTTATCTGCTTCTATTCTACACAAAAATAAAAATGGAATGGTTATCCATAAACATGTGCACTTTAAAGCAAACTTTGTTAGGAAAAATAATTCCTGTGCTCCTTTCCTTAGAAGGAAGCTTCTAAGCGTCCTTCACTTATGAGTGATTGAGTCATACCCCAAAGCTTATGTTGTATATTTACTCCAAAGCTCCTATTTGATAAATATGCAGGATTTTGATGCCTTTATAATATTATAAAATTTTTGCAAATATAATCTGCAGAAATGTCTCATCTTTTTTTGAATCCTGCTAAGCTCTTTGCTTCTGATGTTTTGTGAAAGTGGATTTCAGAAGCTAATTTTGCTTGGTGGAAGCAAAAATTACTTCATTTTTTTCATTTTGAATTTATCATGTTTGCTTCACTGGGAATTGCATCACTGGAGTTTTGAATCTGCATGTATAAAAAAATTGCTACTTGATCTTCGTGCATCATTTTTGGTTCCTGTGCTTTTATCGTATGTCCTCTTAATTATCTCCTCTTCTTTTAATTACACTGATCTTTTCAACTTCATCTTTCAATTTGTGAAGATTTGTGTTGTGTCTTTAATGATGCAAATGGCTATTTCTGCTGTTCCTTTTTCTGAGACAGAGTAATCAGATCCAAGAAAGTTCTTTGACGGACTTCTCCCTTCTCACTCATCTTGCTCATCTTAACATTTTGCTGATGTTTTGCTTTATTCTGATTTATTGTCACCAACCACAGTTTTTCACTGTGCATTCCACAACGGTGTCTTAACTGTTGAATCTGGTGGTAGTTCTGCAAAAACAAGTTCAATGAAAACATGATTGCAGTATTGGCATTTCCTTCAATTAATTTTGTAAATGAGGCACACGACTCATTCAAAGTTCTCCTTGCAGAAATCGGTGTTTTGTATTTTAGCATTAAATATGTTTTCTTTGGACTTCTAAGCTGTTCCTATATCCCTGTATCCAAAGTGATGAGCAAGTCCTTTTCTGTTACTATGGTCATTAAAGTGCCTGGCACAAAGCAGGAGCTGTTTAAGTAGAAATTACCAATGTGAGTCATACAGGAAATTCCTTGTGCCTCTTTCAGGTACTTTTAGTAGTTCACTATAATCGTGCACCCAAGGTGCTCTTAGAAATAAAAAAAAAGCATGAGTAGGTAAATCAAAAGGCAGAATATTAATCTAAGCTGTCAGTTCTCAACCATTTTTTTGGTAATGGGCTTCTTTGAACCTTTCCTTGGAACAAAAAAATTGCACGTAATTGTACTTGGAGTTTAATGGCACCAGTTTTTAACTGCTAATACTCTCAGAAATGTATCTGGTGAGGTAGCAGGTGCAGAACCTCCTAAACCATCCTACACATCAGTGTTACAACTTGTGCAGTGGCTCTACTTGCCATCAGTCAAGGCTGGGGAAAGCTCTAGTCTGCTAAAGGGCAAAGTGCCCGCAGATTGTAGCTGTGCAGATCAGTAAATCATTCTGAGAAAAAAAAAGTTGTTGATTGTGGGAGCTTGAACTGAGGCTTCACAACATTTCTAACTGCAATGGGATCCTGAGGAATCTCTTAATTTATTCTTACAATTTTTCATCTCTTTAAAATTGTTGTTGTGTTAGCATCACTGACCATTAATCTTTATCCTAACAATCAGCCTTGTGTATGCAAACAGATCAGGATCCAAGGTTAAATTGTTCTGCCTTAATGGCAGAAAAGGGTTTTGAAGAGAGGGTAGCAGGTAGATTTTACACTTTTGAATGGGGAACTGCTTGCAAATAGAATGAGAAGTGCTCAGTGGAAGCTGGTGTAATTAGTGTACTAAAGGGAAGAATGGGTGTGAAAAACAGACTGTACTTAAGGCAGGCTTAAAAATAAGCTAATTGGCTAATATTTGAGGTGGAGAATGAGGAATGGGACAGACAGTTTTTGTCCACATTCTGGTTAGACACAAATGGGGCAAGATTATGCCAAGGCAACCAAGGAACATAGAGAACAGGCAGGAGAATGGAAGTTAAGATTCACTTCTGGGTGGAGTTTCCATTGTACAGTGACAGAAAATACTATCCAGGAGACAGTTTGAGGAGCTGAGCAGCAAGACAAAGACAAACAGCTGCAGACAAAGCTTGGATTTCATTCTGTAAGATGAGTTTTAGTTGATGCTGAGCACAAGATCTGTCATGGTGATGAGTGCAATTATCTGGAAAAGACACTGAGACAGGATTTGGAGTGGGGGAATAAGATGATAAATAGCTCTATTTTAACAACATTGAGTTTGCTCTGAGCTTACTGCTTGGTTGATTAGCTATTCAAAATTCCATGGCTACATTGGAAAGTTGAATCAATAACCGATTTGCCTTCTTAGAACCAATATTATAAATATTAATACTTTTTTTTTATAGCACAGTTGTTGTTTGACACAATTACTGATTGAAATGTGTTTTTATGAAATGTGTTTTTAAAATTATTCAATTAAATAAGTCCTGATACAAGTATTATAGTATTATTAAAACAGATTAAAAATTTCTAAGATTGTGAAAATTCAGATTCCAAATCTGAAAAATGTTATGATTTACTCTGCTTACTTTTGGAAGAGTCCTTTCACATAATGATAATAAAGCTTGGTACTGTCTAATATTATTGATGGAGCTTAGATATAAAAAAGATAATTCTTTTTTCAGCCATAACCCAAAATTGTATTGAGTCAACAACAGCAGTGACAAATAGTAAAAAATCACAAGATATAAAATACTATCTAAATCCTATGTCTTCTATAATTCCATTAGAAAAAAATAAAGCTATAACGTGTGCAACAAGGCTGTTTTCTGTGAAAGTGTCTATGCCTTATGATCCTGTTATCTCATGGTTTTGATTTTACCCTATATTTAAATGAAAATAAATTCAGAAAAGGTAGTATTTAAAGTTTCCACGCTACATATGCTCTAGATTGGTATAAAACTGCACTCTTACTTTATTTAAACATTGCAGATAAGATGTGTCTTCTTTTATGACATACTGGTAGCTAAATTTTTACTTCAGTGATGCGTAGGTGTTTCTGAGGTGAGACAAATGCAAGCCTTGGCGGCAACGATGAGAGCAGGATTTGACATTTCTTGAAAACATGTTAAAGATAAATTGTGGGATTTAAGTTTTCCCTTCCCATTGCTGTTGGTGTCAATGGAGTTAACTCACAGTCAGCTGGTTAAACGAGGTTTTGGTTTTGGTTGGATATTTTGGTTGGATATTTATCTGAGATAAAAGGTTTCTACTCCTGCTATTGTTTGAGATGAGCAGCTCCAGGTGTGGGCTTAGATAGAAGTGGGGATATAATTCTTAGGTAGAATACTGTATTCCCATAGAGGAGGAGCAGTAAAGTTCTGGAGGTCAGCCGGGTCCAAACATCGTTGCTAAAACAATTAAATAAGACAATGTAAATATTAAGGGCCAAAATATCTTCCCTGCAAATAAACAAAATTGTATACCCTGACAAGGTATAAAAGCTTTTCTTAAGAGTAAGCCCTGAGGTTTTCATTTAATGGGATGTCTGATGTTAAATTGCTAAAACCTTGTAAGGAAAGTGGTCACTGAAAATGATGGGTTTATCCTTTTACTGCAGATGATTCTTATGCTCCAACATTGCCAGATTGTATTGATGGAGGAAAGTTGAGTTGTTTCATCTTCTCTTCTTCAGGTTGAATGGAATAGAAAAAAGTAATCATATGTCATTAGTAAACTCTCAATGAGTTCATGTATGTTTGTTTACATTTTAATACTTTCAAGGACATGTATAAACAAAATGCCTTAATTCTGCTTCCATTGTAGTCTGTTTGGTTTTGTCATTTTATGTTAACCAGGAGCAGAATTATGCCAATACAGCTTATTCTAATACTGTTCACACTAAAGCAAGGCTAATAACGATGGGGAAAACACCAATGTGTGGCTTTTCTGTTTAAGAAATAATATCAAGATTTTTTGGCTAATGATCAGAACTGCTGTAGTAATTGTAGCTCTACATTTCCTGTGCTGAAGGCTCAGTGGTCCTTCCCTCCTCTTGCTGCCCTCTCTCCCCCATTTTTCCCTTTTTCTTCAATAATTTCTCTGTATGCAAGAACTGGCCCCTGGAAGCCTTTTTGGAGACTTCCAAGAATTGCAGTGAAAGAGTTTTCTTGATACTTTGAGGAAAATGAGGAAAACTGGTTGTGCTGCAAAATTTTTCTACTGAACAATTCGAAATGTTTGAAGACTTGAGATGTTTCATTTTCGGTTTTCTTAAAAGCACGTCCTCCAAAGTGGCTCTGGGATAGGTATAGGATAAACTTACTTTGCAAGTGGGAAAACCAAAGAGAAATCCCAGCATACTGTAGCTGTGCTTGTTTGTGCAGGAAATTAAAGTGATCTCTATTTCACTCAGGTCAACTCTCAAGAGTGTACAGGAAAACTGATAATTTACTAAAGGATTTCCTTTTGGATTTCCAGTGGCATGTTTGGTTACCATAGCACTGCTGTTTTGACCTGATGAACACAGCTGCAAGGCTGGAGATTAAGTTTTAGGGGACTGGTTGTGGTCTGGTTTTTTGCTTTGTGTGTTTTGTTTTGCATGCTGAAGAACTGTGGTGAGGGCTGGTGCGTTGGTTAAACTGACTTATGTAGAAACACTGCTAGAAATGTGTTTATGGTGTTTAGGAAAGTATCCAAAGAGTAGTGTATCAAAACAATTGTGCTGCAAGTGTTGGAAAGGAAGAAAACTTCGTAGCCTTTACAAAGTTAAGTTACACCTTTATGGTGTTTAGTATTTCTTCATAAAAAGTTAGTTGCTGTGAACACAGCTCTCTGGAGCCTGGAAGCCTTCTTACCTCCAGGAAAGCAATAGTATTTCAGTTTGTAGGCTATTGCATTTATAACAAATGAGTTTTGAGCACAAATTACTACGTTATTCACTGACATTCTTTACTGTGTAGCTGCGAAACAGAGCTGAGAAGCAGATCTTAAAAGCAGCATGAAAATAGATTTTATTTCAATTAGGAAGTCCTTTTGATGTTTTGTAACTAACTTGCTTTGGACTGATTAGGATGAATGTTAACAGATTAATGTGTTAATTAGTACCTTCTCTTTTTGCCTTTTGGTACAGGAATCAGGAACTTAAAGACCTGGGAGAACTTGCTCCTCACTGGGACAACATGCGCAAAAGTGTAATTGCTCACTGTGATCAGATGTTGAGCATGTACCAGGACACTCTTGCGGAGCTTGGGAAGCACACAGGTAGGAATCGGTGATTTTATGAAAATAGCCTACTGGAATTATTTCCTGAATCACGCTGGATTTTGAGCAAACAAAGTTTTCTATCTGTTTACAGTGTGCCTTTCTGCCTCTTCCTGCTGGTGTGCCCTCCCCCTGCCCAGTTTATGAGATGTTCTCTAAGGAAATGGGCATATATGTTGTCAATTACTAAAAAGGCTTTGTTGGTGTTGCTGTTTTCTTGCTGGTGTCAGATTTCTAACACCAGTCTTCACACTCACCATCTCAAATACATGTTTTCGATGACCATTCTGCCATAATTGGTTGTTTATTCTGTACTTTGTTCTATACTCTCACCGTTAGATGTTTCCACTATGGCCTTGTGTGTAGAGATATGATATGCATAGATGTCAGAGATAAACACTGTGCAGCCTAGAATATTTCTGATAAAGAGATACATTACAGTTCTGAATATTGCTAAAAATAGAGGTTGAAATGATGACAGCATCTTGTGAAATATATAGGATATGTTTATGAAGGGTTTGCAGTATTTCCTTCATTACTTCCAGCTTTTCACATAGTTCAAACAAAATTGCTTTTTGTGTGTGCTGAGAAAGGGAGCAATCAGGTTTTAGTTCATTATACATTTAAAATACATAGAATAATTTCTTCATGTAGATAATTGGGTGTATTTGCTTTTATTATAATGAATCTGTTGAATTTAGTTGGTGAGACACAAATCTTTCTCTTTTGAAACAGGCATTAAAACTGTACTTTTATCCTTTAGCCATCATCTTTTAATGCAGGACTGAGCATGGTATTTCTCATTCCAGATTCCTCTGGGATAGTGTTCTTGGTCACAGGAAAAGAGAAATCTTGTTTTAGTGCATGAAAAAAATCCAGTCTCCAACTGAAATTAAGCATTTTGGAAGCAGTTGATCACCTGCTTAAATGTTTGTGGAGGAAAAAAAGCTCATCCGTTGCACTAAATGATGTATAATACTTTGCATTTTTTTTGCAAATGTTTAATTTCTTATGTTTATGGTTGTTTACCATTATCAGAATATTCCAATTCTGATTTTGGCAGACTACTGTCTGATCCAGTATGGCACTTCCTATGTTTGTTTTAACTAATATATATGTATGTGTTTTCAACAGTTTGCTAATTACATTTTGAAAGCACTCCATAAAGTATCATAAGCAAGCCAATAAATACGTATTATGAAGGAATCAATGTGATAATTATAACTTGTGGCAAAATACTGAAAGGACCTTTTGAGATTAAAAAAATAAACAATGTCGTCTATTAAACAGAAATCCTGCAAGACCTGCATTGTGCCAAGTGACTTTATAAAGCATTGGTAATGTTAAATGACCTGTCTTAACTGGGTCTTGAGAGAACTACAGTGGACCTGGGAACCTGAGATTATTGAGGAGGACAGGACTAGAACGTGTGAAAAAGAGTAGGGGCATTTATCTGAAAACGAAACAAAACGATAAATCAAAACAACCTAATAATTGTAGTGAAAATGAGAAATAATCAGGAGGTGTTATTCTGGGGGCCAACACTAAATCTCATTTCTTTTGACAACCCTTTTTCTCCCTCTTACTAATAATTAATAATGTGTAAAATACCTGTTTGTATTTGGAAACCCCCGATTTTGCATCTCATGTGAAAAGTCACCTGAACATTTCAGAACTTAATTTACTGTAATCAGTGGGACATGAACACATTCTAAATCCAAATAATAACCCAGTTCTTCTAATGAAAACAATATTTACTTTTAACCCTGAACTACAGTGTGTTTATTCTTATCAAATCACATTTATATTAAATGATAAATCCTCTGGGTAGTGATTGTTTTTTTAAAATTGTTCCGTACAGGTTAATTATAAAGTGGGAGGGGGGTTACAATTTATTCTGAATACTTATGTAGAACTAGGCTGAAACCTCAAATCTCCATTTTGGTCCTGTAGGCAATGTAGCATTTGGCTGCCCAAAAATAAAACAAAATCTAAACCAGCTTTTTTCATGTATTTCTGCTGTCTATTATTTGCCTTTAACCAGATTTTTTTTCTGCCTAGATCCTTTGCAACAAGTAATTGCAATTCTCTGTGTAAAAAAAGATTAATTTTCCTACATAAAGTTTTAAGAATTTTATCTCTACTGCCTTTTTTTTTTCAAAGGAACAAGGTGGATGTGGATAAAATTCATTGCTGTTCCAAGATGACTTGGTTTCTCTTCCATCCCATTCGTGACAGTTCTTCTCTATAAAGAGTACACATTATAAGTTTAAAAAACAAGGTTATAGTCTTTGATAAGAAAAGGAAGCCAGACATATATTTGACTTAATACTGTAGTTGCACAAATAGTTACGTTGAGAGAACATAGTAGAGACTGGATATTGCAGTACTCACTAAGTAGAAATTGCGAAGATTAGGGATGTGAGCACAACTTTAATTTAGACTTTTCAGGTCACATATTTCAACACATGCCAAAAAAGATTTTGCTTTTCAGTTCAATCTGTACAGGCATCTTACTTTGTCTTAGGCAGGAATGTGATACGTTATTGAAGTCCATTTCACAGTTCCTCTTCAGGTGGATGTCAGATGAAGGTTGTATCTGTATTCTGATATTTCCTAACTTTGAAGAGTTTAATCTTGCAGTAATAATGGCAAGAACTGTTTTAATAGAGGGAATGTAGTTATTTTAGTACTTAAATACAACTTTTTTTAGTACTTAAATACAACTTACCAAGTTACTTAAAAACAGACAAATTATACTGAAAGTTAGTGTGCTGGTTTAAAGGTAAACGGGCAAGGGAAATGAACCCAACTCAAAAGCAATTATAAGTCAGTATAACAATTTAATAAAAATAATACAATAAATACAATTACACAGACAAACAATTGTTTTTAACCCACAAAACCCAGCTGTATAACCCAGCACCCTGGGGCATGAACAGAGTGGTATTCATTGGGCCCCCCTCCCCATGATGAGCCCCACGTGGTCCCCCTGAGTCCAAAAGTAAAAGGAGAGGGAAAACCTGTTGGTGAGTTGCAATCCTTCTCTGGATCCCACAAGTGGTACAGAAATCCCAAAACCTCAAGATTATATATCCTCAGGTTCAGGCAGGAATGCCCAGTACCTCCCTCGGGGCAGGGAGTTCCACAATGGGTGTGAGGACAGGAGCATCCTCTTATCTCACAGGCCTCTTAATGCTCAGTTTATAGCCTGAGGAGCCAGGAGTGCTCTGGGCAGCTGCTGTAAATGGTCTATTGATAACAGTTTCTGGGAAATGGCATGGAAGAGTATAGAATACACAGTTTTGGGTTACACCCACACAGCGATGAACTGGTCCCAGCTGTTCTAACTAGGACAGTCAGTTTTATGGTATGGATGGTATTGGCAAATTCATGGATCTCATACTTGAGCAAATGTAATAATTGATAGCAGGTGAGTGGTTCTTATACCACAGGTTTCTGGCACTGGATGGAAAGGATTCCTTGCTTCACAGGTCTTCCCTGAAAAGAGGAGTAACAAGACTCAGTGATGCTGCATGTGTTCTGCTCCTGCTCAGGACAGAAGTGTACTCCTGAGAGCAGGCTCTCCTATTCTCCCTCCTACTGTTCTCTTACCTGTCCATTTAAATCTGCTGTCATCATATTCTCCTCTTAGTCAGTCAGCGTTTCCTTGTCTCAGGTCTCAGTTATCGTTCCTTAAGCTTTCATCTTGGTCTCAGCTGAATTCTCACAAATAATCTGCACCCCTTCTGCTTTCTTTTCTAATTACTTACAGTCTCCTTGCCTGCACTACTCTCATTTCTTTCCTGATAGTTTCAGCTCCCTTCCCTACCCCCCTAATTGTCTTTCTGTGCTTTCCAGATGCAGGTTTCCCACTGCATCATCACCACCTCCTGGTTTCACTCTGCATCCCCAGCTTTCCTGTCTGATCTGAAGCTTTGACTCCTGTCAGTTGCTTTTCTTTCTACCTTTGCTCTTCATCTGTGTTAAATTATTAATTTAAATTACTAAGGTTAGGGAAGAGCCTAAGCATTCTTGATTGGTCTGGAGCATCACTGGTGCTCTCTGGCAGTGTGATTTGCGTGGGGAGGCTCAATGCTTAGTCCTCTTGGAATGTGGCACTTTCAACAGATAAACCCTAGCAAATCTTGATTGAGCAAGTCCAAAAGAAGAATTTCAAATATTTCTTTTACCTTTTTTGTTTGTTTCTGTCTTTCAAGAAACAGTTGAACCTTGACAAAAATTATTTAAAAATTCTGGCTGCATCAGAGGAATTTTAGTTCTGATGATTAATAGTCGACAAAATGATAGGATGCTGAAAAGATGGTCTGAATAAATGTTGCACTACCTGAGTGAGAAGACAAGACCACCTCTCTTTCTTAATCCACGCCCTTTTATTTTATATATATTCTGCATCAAATATCTCCAAGCGAATTTCATTTTCATACTGTCAGACTTTTAATTATATTCCTTTATACCACCATAGAGTTACTCATAGTCTCATACTTTTGAAATATGCAGCCAGATTTTTTTTTTCTTATGATTCTGGCTTTTTAGAAAGAAAACTAATTTACAGCTTTCCTTAAGATAGTTCGTGTTTCTTTATTTGAGCTTTCTAGGAAGAGTGCATAACCTAGTCAATATAATACTTCTGTTTGAAGAAAAAAAATGTTACTTGGCAAAGATGTGATGCCATTATAGCTCAGCACCCTTGTGTTTTCAGCACAGAATAAACATAATGCACGTTAACTGTGACATTGTTCCAGCAGACTGCAGACTGATTTCAGACAGCAGGAAAAAATATCTGTCACCTAGAATAAAAAATTAGATTGTTCTGTGAATTAAAAGCTGGTTTGCTGCTTCCAGTATGGATACATGCTGAGACTCAGTTAGTGAACCATTCATCTCCTGATATACAATTACACATTAAAAGGAAATTAAAGAAGACTCTTCACATACAAATATTGTCCTCGCATTAAAAAGAAGACAAAACATCTATGTATTTAAGGTAATGATTCTTTAAACTTTTGGTTTTTTCAGGTTCTTCCTTCAAATCCAGCTGTAGCAAAGGAGAAAAAACACTAGAATTCATCCCAATAAATCTTCATCTGCAAAGAATGCATGTGCATAGTCCTCGATTGAAAGGTAAAGTATACTCTGCAGAGAAATTCTCCAAGTATGACAAAGTGTGCTTTGAAATACAGTTAAATTTGCAACTGAGAGGTATGGCTTCCATTTTAGCCCTTTTCAGGATGTAAATATCTTTATATATCCAGTTTCAATGGTGAGCATTAGATGGACATGATTTCAGGTGAAACTTAAAACCACAGCAGAACTGAAAGGTGTGTTGTCTAGAGAGTTGAATCTCAGCCATTTTGAATTTTTACCTTAGTGGTAGAATACTGGCAACAGTCTTGTTAAACTCTGTAAGTGGGACATAAAGATGCTACAGATAAAAGGCATGGAAAGTAATAGTATTAAATTAATTTTTTTGAGATAAATTTGTGTGCAATTTAGACTTACATGGAAGAATGCTGAGGAGAAAAGAATATCACAAGAAATACAGTGACTTTTAAAGAAAATTCTGAGATTCATTTCGTGTTGCATGCGTTTTGCCAGTCAGTGAAGATTGGTACAGTATTAGCTTGTTTGTAAGATTCTTGGAGTATGGCTTGATACAGAAGTTTTCTTGTATAATTAGATTGTTGCTTGTGGTTTGTGTTTGTTTGGTGACTTTGTTTTTTAAATAAAATCAAAATCAAACTTCCAAATTCATTATTTTAAAGTCTCTGCTGCTGTACAGTTTTTCCACTTTGTCTAATGGGCTCTATAAAGTTGTGGTTATTTCCTGCTGAGTTTTTTTTTTTTCTTTTTCTAGTTTAGTTGTTTTAGTTTGTGGGGTTTTTTTTTGTGTGTGTGCATCTATGTGGAACCTGTTGGGTTTCCTGAAGGGTTTAATTTCATTCTCTTATGCCTGTGCGTCTGCTTCTAAAACCAAAGCTTTCAGTTTTGACTGCTGTTTGCAGAATTTCTGGAGCAACTGAGTATGTACTCAGTTGAGGTCCACAACTGAGGGCCACAGTAGGTAAATCATAAGGTAGGTAGGTAAATCATAAGGTCAAGGAAGTGACCAGCTTGCCCATCTTCCCCATTCCACTACAAATTCTGAAACCTGCACCAAGCCATACTGCTGCTGAGATTGACCAGAAACCCTGAGACTGAGCTGAAATTTAGGGATCAGGTCTGAAGTTAAAGCTGTGCAAGGAATTTCTCTGCCTCATCTTCTGAAGCCACAAGTTTTGGATCCTGACTGCAGATCTTGCAAAACTAAGGAGTGGTTAACTAAATTCCTTTTAAGTTCTTTTCTAAAAGTAAATTCTGGGGATGTTGTGCTCATTTTGTTCCCGTGACACTTCAAGGAAATAACTAAATTCAGAATGTATGTTCACTGAAATGTATTGGTAACCTATGCATGGTTAAAAATATTCTGTTGTAGCAGTGCAGAACTAATACTGTCATGATTCATCCTGACACACTGCACAATGTTCAGTAAGATTCACATCCTACTCGGGCATCAGCTTAATTTTTCATTGTGATCCATAATGTCAGTGTGATGTAAAAGCCAGTCATAACTCTCTTGTTTTAAGATGGCTTTTTTTCCCCCCTCTCCAGTTTACCACCAGAGACAGTGATAGAGCACAGTACAACACTTTTTCCTTCTAGACATTTCTGGGATGTACTCACCAGGCTAGGTGATGTGAGTTGCATTAAGGACAGTATTACTTCCAAACTTAATGTATCCTATTTCTTATACAGTGTTACCCTGTGCCACAAAAGCATTTGCTCGGTGTTAAGTGAAAACATCCCTACTGATGTTACTACCAATACTGCAAACTTCTAATACCTCCTGGAAAGGGGAATAATTTTCTGTAATGTCGTCTGTGATTCTTTTTAATAGATAATTTCATTGCTGCTGCTTGCATATAATTTTTAGCAGCATCCTTTACAGATAAAAGATTATACTGATACATACATGTGGCCAAATCATAGCACAGTGAATAATTTGTTGACAAATTGAGATCTGTTAAATTTGCTGTCACTGTACAAACACGGAAATTACACTCTGTAAGGTTTTTGCCTTATTAATACACTTTACATCTAAGCAGATTGTAAAAGAGTAGGTGCAAACAGTGATTATAGCAGTATTATACTGTGTGAGGCTGGTGTTCATCCACTTGCAAGTTGGAACATAGGGACTTCCAATTATCTGTTAGATACTGTATTTGTTCAATATTTTGAACAAATTGTTATTTCTTTTACTAAACAGCAGTGCCTCCAAACATTTTAACAAGATGGGCATTTATAGTGACATAATGTGACAGCACAGATTTTAATTTAATTTAATGTTTTGAAGTTAATTAGTTAACTCAAAAGCATTTTTCGGTTTGTAATGGTGACCAGAACCTTAATACTATGTCTTTTCAAGAAAACCTCTCTGGGAACAGGACACTGTATGGTTATTTGCTAAATAAAAAAATGTGGAAAGAAATATGACACTTAATCACTCATAACTTTTACAGTGCTTGAGTTTTGTTTTTTATGAATTTTCTCTTTTCTCCTCCAAAATCACTTTGCTTGGGGCACATGGTTAATCCATAATCTAAAAGGGTACAGAAAGAGATAAGTTAGAATTGTCTTCTAAATCTGGAACTTTGTTTAAATTATGAAACTCTCCCTTTGTTATTTAACTAATGTTCACTGTGTCTTGTGTTAGATATGTACAGTTTGAACAGTTTTCAGCAATTGCCCATCAATCTGGAGTAGGCAGCACTTTGACATCAAGTTGGTCTTTCTCATCTTATGCTTTGCTTGGCATATATCAAAAGGTACCTGGAATATAACCAAGAGACTGACAGGAGAGGAAGGAGAATAAAAAAACAAAGCATGTAAACATTGACAGAGGTGGCCATTCTACAGGCTGATGGACCATAAAACTCTAATTAACTCTTACACTGTCAGATGTCTTAATGTTGGCAGTGCAAGATGGGTTTTAATCCCATCTATCGTGTTTATGCACATCGATACATGATATTTTTTTGTTTGACACGTTTAATAACAGGTTGACTTTTAATGAACTTTGATTTGGGTTGTTATTGGGTACTGACATGAAATAGAAAACACCTGTCTGTTTAAACTTCCAGTAGGAACAACTTTGAGAAAAATACAATTTCCTTAAGGGATAACTGTATCCCTATCCATTTGATAAACACCACATTTTGCACTGTTCATCATACTGCAGGAGTTAAATTTATACATCGGCATAGCTTTGCTTCTGTCCCTGTTTATACGTTGTGTACTTGTTTCAAATAAATTTGGTGAAGTGAAATGATTTTTATTTTGCATCTTGCCACTGTGAGACACTCACTGCCTCCAGTGAAGGCAAGCAGGTTTGCTTCAAATTCGAAGATGGGGCTGTTCTTGACAATATGATACCACTCATATGGCTCTCTGCAGCATTTTAAGCTCTGTCTTCAGTGCAGAGACGTGTCAGCAGTGGTTGCTCTTGCAGTGGGTGACGGCTCTGAGTTACTGGAGCACTTCTGTACCAGTGCACTGATGCTGACACTGCATGTCCTTCAGAAGGAGCTCCACTGATGTGTAAGTGGAGCACATCACAAGGCATTCCTCCCAAGCCTTGCAGCACTCTCCAGTGTACTGTGCTCTTGAAAGTGGCAGAGAAATTGCCCTGTGCCCGTCACCAGAGCTGTAGACGTTTTCTCCTCCTTTGCCATCCTCACTCTCCTGTGCTCACTTACATGAGGTGGGTGCTCAGCTGCACTGCGTGTTTATGTCTCAAACAGCTGCTCTGAGAAGTGGCCACAGGATGAATGAAAGGGGGGTAAATCCCCCCTCCAAAGTAATTATCAGCAGGGTCACTGTTTATTTTTAAAACAGAGCCAGAACCAGGCTTTAGTCTTTTAAATGTTTTCCTGTAATTTCATCAGTTGCTTGTAAACATATTCAGAACCCATTATTCAGTTAACCTGATGAGTTCATCTCTTATTTTGGTTTCGAGCAACTATTGTTTTAAGCAGGAGAACACTTATTGTCAAGTACTGATGGAGCTCTAATAGTCCAAGATTATGTATTATGGATAAATCTCTATTAAGACCCGAAAGAATGGGCTATTTAAGAATCTTGAAGCTCACCTTAGGCTAATGAAATTATGTCACTTCTCCTTTTAAGTGGAAATTGAAGAGTTACCAATTCATTAGAGTTCAAATCAATTTGAGCAAATATCTTCTGAGAGTCAGCTCTGGAAGTAAAGCATAGTTCATTAAGTGAATCATTTGTACAGTGTTCTTGCTTCTAGGGATATTTATCATCAGAATGCAAGAAAAGTTCTATTTTAGGGGAGGACTAGATTTTAATTTACATGGCAAGCTTCCTTGATGAATAAAGCAGTTCATAAAAAACATCCTTTAATAGTTCCCTTAGAAATACATTTTAAGAATGAGGCATTCCAAACTGCATTTTTATAATTGCAGTAAGCTTGGGTACAAAACAGGTACTGCTTAGTTCAGATGTAAATTTAAACTTTGAAGAAATAATTATTGTGGTTTGGGATGTAATTAAATCTTCATCTCTGCCCTGATAATCAATCACAGGCTCCTTTTAAAAAGATATTTCATCTCTAGTTCCATAAGCATATATCCACACAAAAAGTGCATCCTGTATGTCATAAGACATCAGGTATATACAGAGAGCAGCAACACTTTGTTGTCTCAGCAAGAATTTCAGTAGTGTGGTTTTATTTCCTATTCTGGTAGCTTTTCAGCTGAAAACAACTGACTTTGTGTTCATAAATACTTATAAAAAGTAAGTTGTTGTCATAAAGCAGGGCTTTTCGATTTAGCATTAAACGGCATTATATCTGAAAGTCCATTAACATTAAATCCAAACAAATCCAAACTAGAAAAGAAGTAGAGATTTTTACTAGTCTGATTGACTTCTCTGAGAATGCAGTGAATTCATTGTCACTTGAAGTCTTTAAATCAAGATTAGATGCCTTAAAAAAGAGATGCCTTCACTCAACCACGAGACATAAGCTTGATGCATAAGCTTGATGCAGGAATCATTAGCTGTAAATCTGTAGTTTCTATTATTCAGAGAGTCAGACTATTCCCTTTTAATGGTCTCTTTTGATTCTAAAATGCTTGAATCTGTGCATCTCAACATGACTACAAGTTAAATAATGAAAGGGGTAATAAAGGGAAATACACAAAGGGCCAATTTACTTGGCAGCTTTGTAAACTGCAGAGCTAGAATATTGTTCTACACTGCAGCATATAATTTAGATGTAGCCATAAATCAGGTGAACTTTCTAGGGTGTGCAGGTGGCTACATGGAAAGACTGATTAGCTCTTGGGCCTCCTTGAGACATGGATTATCAATTATTCCTTGGAAATAACGTAGACTTGCTGTCCTCATGTTTTGTAGAGTAGATGTCATAGTGTTGTCATGCCTTGGGGACAGGCACATTCAAATCTCTGTGTTTGTCTGCTCCCATTCCAGATGCTTTGTATGATGTCATCACCGTGGGAGCCCCAGCAGCGCATTTCCAAGGATTTAAGAATGGTGGTCTCCGGAAACTGCTGAGTAAATTTGAGGCAGAAAGAAGAAAGTAAGTGCTCTTTCAAGTAGCTAGGAAAATATCGTTAAAGTTGCATTAAAATGTTATGAGCTCACTGAATAACAAAACAGTTTACCCTCCTGAATGCATGGAAGCTTAAAATCTAGTAGGATTGGACATTGCATTCATCAAATATTTCCTTTATCTTTCCTGCTTTGTTAGACTACAAAATTGAAGCACAGCCTTCTTTTAGAGTTAAGACTTTTTTTGAATAAAGGAAATTACCTCAAGCTGCATCACGGGAGGTTGAGGTTGGACATCAGGAAGAATTTCCTTATGGAAAGGGTTATCATGCATTGGAACGGGCCTCTCAGGGAAGTGGTGGAGTCAACGTCCCTGTAAGTGTTTACGAAACAGCAGCAGTTGGTGATGTGGTGGTGTTCAGTCGAAGGTTGGACTCGATGAACTTGGAGGTCTTTTCCAATCTTAATGATTCTATGATGCAAAATTTTGAATTTTTTTTTTCACATATTTCAGAAAGCTTGAGGTATATCAGTGCTTGAAAACATGCTGTTCAAAATGAGGTATGTCTTTGGCAATTCTTGTGCTAAGAGGAACATAGCTATAGACAATTTTTCAATACAGAAACAGTAGCTTAAAGTAGTATCTCTACTTCTGACAGCCCTGGGCATATGCTAAGAAAAAACATTTTTAGTGCAGCTCTGAAATAAGTAAGAAACTCTTCTTATTCGTCAGAAAGCCAAAATAAGACTAAGCAAAAATAAAGTTTTCATTTCATTGCTGTACTCAAATGCTTTGTTAACTGCTGAACACGTACAAAAGTGTTAGTTGCATATTTTGCTAACTAAGAATTGGATGTGTTTGTGTTTGTTGCTATGGCTGTTAAGATTTTCAAGCAGCCACAGCTGTCACTGGCAGCACCCGTAGTTGTGACTGCTCAGTTCTTCAGCTAACAGTGCCAACCCCATGCAATCAGTGTCACAGCATTTGAAAGAGAATGCAGCAAGGACTCTGATTTAAATCATCATGGTGCTCCATAGAAGATGAATTCTATTGTATTCAATGCTCAAAAAGTTTCATAGGTACAATACCATAAAGAATTAAAAGGGAAATTATAAAAATCTAATGTTGACTTCTAGGTTGAATAGCAGTTGGCATCAATACTAAAAACAAACAAAACCAGCAGACATATTTACTTTAAAGCTGTACTATTGGGTTGTTTTGGGGAGTTTTCCACTACATAACATAAAACTCCTGTTAAATCTTCTAAAATCTTTCATTTCCCTGACCACCTCTGATATCAAACCTTGCCAATGAAACATGAATATTATTGATCACATAAGACACTTCATTGAACATTGTGTTAATACACTGCTATCAGCAGACTGGTATAGGCAACCTTATCCCCATCCCATGGAGGCCTATGAAGTACATGTTTTCTAATGAGGAAAATATCTAAAATAATTTCTTAAAGCATCTCCTTCTTTACTATCTTATTAATGTAGTTACTGTGGTGTTTAGTGAGGTTTTATTATATTAATTAAGAAGAAATTGGAGGCATAAGTGATATAAAGAACTTTACAGTTCCAGTCCTCACAGTTTTCAGCTTTCAGAAAATGAATTGTTTCTCACTTGCTGAGTTCTGCAGCATGTCCATGTTGGCAGATATCCTCCCAAAAATGGAGGATAGCTGTGAGGTAAAATATTCTCTGTGATTGCTCTTCATTGGAGAAAAAAGGGAAAATGCCATATAGGGAAGAGAACTAGTCTTTCTTGAGTTCTTCCTGGGAGAACACAAATTGCAGTATCTGATAGGATTGACTAGACAGTGCCCTTGTTTCTTAGTTGCCTATAACAGGGGAGAGGAGATGATGGGCGAGCTCCTGTGCAGTGTCAGAACACAAGGATGGCAAAGGATACTTGGTGCAGCACAGCCTCTTCTCATTTTCATTTGCTCTTATTTCACTGAATCGACCATGTAGACATCTAAGTTGATAAAGGACTGTGTTTGGGAGCACTGGGTAAAGTTTTGTGTACCTTTTATCAAGGCATTTCATACCTATTTCAAGTGCTTACACATCACCTTGTATTTGCCATGCTGCTTAGATTTTTCTGCATCCATCAGAAACACCTGTATTTTGGTGATTTTCAAGGATAGGATACCAGACCTTTTCTCTGACAGTGCAACTTTGCATTTCTGTGTTACCCTAGAAGGGCAGAAGTCTGTCTTCAGGATGATATAATTAGGATAACTATGTTACTATCCTGTCAGACTCTTCCTTAAAAAAAAAAGCCTGAGTCAGCCTAACAAACTTGAGCACTGAAAATGCACTGCAAAAGGACTGCAACTTTCAGCTAATCACTTGCCAGACCTGACCAACTGGTCACTTAGCGTATGAATTCCCACAAAATAGAAAGGAGGACGACTCCAAAATTCATCTTTCCTACTACCTTTGAGGACAACTCAGAGAAAACTCTACGGGTTTGGTTTTTTCCCCTCAGCTAGAACTTGTGTGAGTTGAAAAACAGAAGCAAGCAAGCTCTCAGTGTGATCTCACTTATTTGAATATTCAGGAGTGGGTCTACATTAAATAAATACATAAAAGTACTATTCTCATTCTTACCATGGAGAAATTTGTTTCACTGTGGCAACAACGACGTTATTTTGCATATGCCTTTTTGTTTAGCTGCATGGGAATGCTTTGGGGACACACAGCATTTCCAGGGGCAGATTTTGCAATTTAAACTTTTTGTTTTACAACGGGGGCAACTTTTCTGAAGATTTCGTTGAAGGAAGACGTGACATCTTGAAATATCAGTCAGAATATAGAATGAACAGAAAAAAAAATGCAGATTAAGCAGCCATTTTCTCTAGGCTAATTGAACTGAAAACCTAGAGGAAGATGTGGGAAGAGATTAGTTCTCAAGCTGATCCTGGTAGCTTTCAAAGACATGACAAAATACCTTGCATGTCTTTGACCTTTAGTCTGGTTATTAGAGCAGTTTACTGAAATATTCAACAGTGTGGGCATATCACAGAATAGTCCTTGCTCAAACCTAGACTTGTGGAATTACGGACAAGAGGAACTGTTATCTGGTAGCATTTGCAATTGCTGAATCAAAACAAGACTGAGACATGTTTTATAAAAGTTTATCAAACAGAATAATGTGGAAAATGTGCATCTGAAGGTAGTTCTGGCATGTTTTCTATTATGCAGAATACACATTTTTGTGCAGACAGAGAGGAAGGCGTTGTATAAGAATATCTATAAAAAGGGCTATATTTTTGCAATTCTTCACTCATTTGTTACCATCAAGCAGCTCATATTAAAAGAAAAAAAAAGGAAGGCAGATTTCTAAAAAATATGACCTGAAAGAAGAGCAAGAAAAGCTTTTCTTACAGGTGAAAAATATGATACTCTATGGTATGTGATCTGAAGCCCATTCTATTGCTTTATAACCCATTCACATACTAGTTTTTATCTGTAAAAAAGATACAGATAAAAGGCTCTTCCACTAGAAACATCAGTCATGTCTATAAGGCATGACTAGTATATCTGTCCCTTTAGTAGCTAGTAGTGAACTTCATAAGACCAGTAAAAACAAGTGATGCTTTTAAAAAATTTTGTTTAGATATGATAGCACTTCAAATAATTAAAATGTGATGATTAAGGTATGGCAAATCATTGCAGAATATTAATTACATGTTTAGGATATACGTTTATTTAGAATCTTTTTTTTTGTGCTGTATTGGATTGTTCTTTTTATTTTTTCCTTTGCTATTTCTAGCTGAAAGAGAAAGTGAGACAGTTGTTCAGATGCAGTCTTTCTTTTGGCCTGCTAGTAAAGATTATTTCTCCTTCCAGCAAATGGAAGAGATTGTCCTCTCATCAGTCTAGATGGCACAGCAAATTATTATTTTTAGAGCTCAGTTGTGCAGGAACATTTAAGGCAGACATTCTGTAAGTTATCCCCATGTAATGCCTCACTGCTTGAAGTGTTCATAAATCACTTTCAAGATACACAAAGGGCTTTTTTTCTTATTTAAAATCTAATTCAACCATCTTTCTTTTAATCAAAACACATAGACTTAGGATTGCAAGTTTTTTAATGCTCCAGTTCTAACCATCAAGAAAATCAGAAGTGTCCCACAAGCTGTATTAGGTTCTGTGATTCACTGTGGTTTTATACATAATTTCTAGCAAGCTGTTTGAAAGTTATCCTGTTTTAAATTAGCACAAGCTTAAAAGCAGAACAGTACTGTTGATTTTTTTTTTTAAAGCTATAATAATTTAATTTGGTTTTGAACTGTCTGAAAGCATCCTTACTGTTTGATGAGGCCTAGATTGTTGGTCAAGATGTAAGGTGTGCTCCTTCACTAACATACCTGTTACCAGAGATTTTATTAATGCTGCAGTCTCCTCAGTTCCTAATACCCGAATTTTATAACCTTCGACCCATTTCCATTCTCTGAAGTTTCACAGAAAATCCCAGAATAATAATGATCCGTGTTTGAACTAATTGTTCTAATCTCTACTGTCGAAGGAAAACCAAAAAGTGTGTAGCACTTTTCACAGAGATGTTATTCTTTGCACACTTTCTCACACACATGTACACATCCAGAAAGGGGAAAGACAGATTAGACTTACATGGAGATGAACACTTTTTCACTGACCATAAAATCAGTGTATTAAGGTTGTGTGAAAGTTTAGATGAGAAACTGCTGAAGTTTGTGCTATTCATGGAGATATAAAATTCTCATCACAGTATTTTCCAGTTGCTGGACGCTCTGGACAGAATTGCCTGAAGCATTTCCTTAAGAGGGCATAAAAGAAAGGAGACTGGGGCTGTGAAAGAAGGGAAGGACTTGTGGGAGCTCTGCCTGCCAAGGCTAGGATCGCAAGTTTTGGAGAACAAGAAACTTCCATCTATGTGGACTCCAGTAGGGGTAGGAAGAGACTGGAATCCATGTCTTTGCTATTTTTTTCTTGTAATCTCTCTTCAGCAGGCTGCCAGGAGGCGGCTCCACTGAAAGGCACCATTTAGCTTCAGGCTTGTGGTGGGGCATGATAACTTTTTTCCTTCTGATAAGAATCATGCTCACTTACCCAGAAAAAGATTCTCCCCTACATTAAAGGTTGCTTGCACCTTTCCACCAATGTAAAGATAGTCTAAAATTAATTTGAAGATCTGTGGAAGGCTTTCCCTAGGCATTCAGCCTTTCTGGAGTGAGTCTTCTTAGAAAGATTCAGTGCGAGATTCACCTGTGCTGCTATGGCATCTGTCCTACTTAAGTCTCTCAAGGACTGGAGGCAATCTTGGCCTTTCTTTTCACTGAAACTCATGTCCCATTACCAGCAGAAGGCATTGATATAGAGTTACTCCACAGATCAGTTAGGAATGAAGAGGACATAGAAGAACAGCAGGGAAAAGTCTTATGTGTCCAGCTTTAGCCATTGCCTTGAGATAAGGATTTGTAGAGATTTGAACATCATAGGCAGAACTAATAATATGATTTCATTTTCTTTGGTATTCAAAATTAGAATTTCCAAGTTTGCAAGGGAATCTTAAGGAAATAAAAAAAAAAATTAATTTAAACTTCTGGTTTCTCTCAGGCCTGTTTTCATAACCTCGACGCTGATCATATGGTTCAGTTTTATTTACTGAGACAGTGAATCGTTCAGAGTTTTTTTATGTAGCAATTTATTTTTGATCATAACTTCCCAGTTTGGACAGAATACATGCATTGCATAAGTAAGCCATTGAATTGGTATCTTCAGTAATGTATATAAACTCAAAGTTATCTGGGATTAGAGGTACTTGGTGTCTATGTTTTAACTGTATTCTTGATGTGAACGTCTGGGGTTTTGACCGTGAAAAATGCGAGGTCAAATGTTCATTGTTGAAGGATTTTAACCCAGTCCCAGATGGTGGCAGTTTAACTCAGTCATGCAAATTACACCCTTACCAGCAGGAGTGGAGAAACTCCGAGTGTCATTAAAAATTAGACTTTTAGCATATTGCAGTATTTATTCTCAGGCAAAAACTTTTTTAATCTAGGACTAAAATTGCAGATGTAGCCAATGTAGTATTTATTCAAATTACATGACAATGTCCTTAAAGCAATTTTAAAACTGAAATGACCGCTGGCAGTGATGTGTTCACAGTCAGTGATGGTGCCAATATATGGAAATGATCAAGTATGACTTTATATGCTCAGTGAAAGCTTTGAAACTTAACCCAGAAGACATTATTTTAGAGTTTTTCAAAAGGTACATGTGCAATAATGTAATTTGCATATCAAAGGTAGATTTTCATAATGCTACCTGAGTTCCTGCACTGGACCTACCCATGTGGCCTTTACCCTAGTGCTAAAGTTTCATCTAGTTTGTGCCTTAGGACATCTGTGAAAAGTTTTATGTGCCAGTAAGTTCTATTGGCAGCTGCCTCTTCTAAGTAATAATACTTATATACCATAGCTGTATGTGTCAGCAAGCTCTAAAAGTAGTTACAGATGAGGAAACTTCACTGAATTATAAGTAGTAATGTCTTTCCATGAACAGTAAGGCCTCCGAAAATCTCAGACTAGTTTTAGATTCAACAGTGTTGGGACACAACAATTAGAAACTGCAAATACTCCCAAACATGTTGTTTCTGACAAAGAATTACACACTTTCTTGGAGGGAGAGAGGAATTTGCTCTGAAATTATGAAAGAAACTAAATATTTGAAGTTGTCTTATGATTTCTGGGGTTCAGGAAGTGTTAAAGTCAGCCAAATAATGAAGTCTGATAATACACTTAATTCTGAAGAAAGAGTCATTCTCTCTTCACTGTTTTCTTTATTTAAAACCTATGATTTACTTTATTACAAGGAGAACTACCCACAGATTTAGTATTGCTCTTCCCTCTGTCTTACAGCATTGCCTGTAGCTTTTCTGCTGCAATATTCAGCAAAGCTTAGAGCTGTGGGAGATCAGTGGAAATGATCAGGGAATTAAAGGCTGAGGGAAATCCCAGAAGGTAGTATGTGCATGGCGAGCTTGATAACAGCATTAGCCAGATTCAGCCTGCAAAAAGGCTGTTTGATAAAGGGAGGGAGAAGCCTGAAGGGGAATTAGAGAAGTGTCAACACTTTTAAGACTGTGTCTTCAATACAATTAACACAGACTATTACTCTTGTCCCTGCCTTGTCTACTGAGTCTGATAACTTGAGAACTGCCATGAATGTAGAGGTAGATCTGACTTTGGAAGTGTTACCACCTCAAAGGTAGAATTGTGACCATTTCCTCATTTTTTGGAGGGACAGAGTTGGGGTTTTTTTCCCAGTTCCTTAGGAAAGAGAGTTTATATGATTAATTTTGCTGAAATACTCAGAATTCCGACCGCTTCACTCAGCAGTATAGTAACTTATGTAGGGAACTGTGAGTTGGAGCTGAGGAGTAATTTGATGTGGCTGGTGGCATGACTGATCATGGCAAAATTTTGATGACTCGGATGCCATTCATCCTGACTGCCTCTACAAAGAATTGTATCTAAAAATGGAGACATTGGTGAAAGACAGAAAAATAGAATGGGATATTGTGGATTTTGTGACTGTAACTCTGCAAAATATCTAAGCAAGAGGCTTAATTTTTAGACTACTTGAATCTATCCTTATTTGCCAAGATGCTTATGCCTTTTAGGTTTTATGGAAGCAACTTCATTTTGACTTCTGAATTTATGATGTGTATGTCCTTTATTGAAATAAATTTAATATCTAATTTGTAGAAAACTTATGAGGAGGAACTGGAAGGGACACTAGAAGACACAAAGGGGAAAAGGGGAAGTGAAAAAATCTGGAAAAAGACTGTCATAAAAAGCAATGTGTGAAGTTCAAAGGGTTGCACAAGTGTCAAAATTCAGGTCTTGATTAAGAAAATCAAGAAAGGAATTAAAACAGTGGTGAAAGGGTTGAAGAGACTGAAGTATGTATGATTAAAAGACAGAATAGGAAAGAAGGGAGATACAAATAGAACCAACTGGGAAGTACTAGTATGTACATTCCCTGGCATTGGTAATGTGCCAGGAGTTGCTTGGGTACATTTTTTCCTGTGTTGACATTAGAGGTTAATATGAAACTGTAAAAGATTTTGGTTAGTTTCTCTGAAAGACTGAACCAGGGCTTTTTAAAGGGAAGAATTATGAACAGGAGGTTTAGGTGAGGAGCTGTATACTATGATGAAGATCCAGTAGGTGTGTGCATAAAATGGTATTAGGGAATAATGGTATAAAAGGATATTCCATGATTAGTAAGTTTTGGGGTGTGAGAGAGTGGGGAAGAAGAAGAGGGATAGGAAAAGAAGTTCTGGAAAAGAATTGCAGTAGTTTGTCAACAATTGAAAGGAAATTAGGAAGTTTGCAGTACGCATTTTTGTTTTATAGTAGTTAGCTCCCACACCCCATTTCTGTGTCTTTTCTTGCAAACTAGACACCTGTTTCTTGTTTGAGATAACTCTGGTTGTCACCATTTGCTGGACATCATTAATGCTAATCAAAACATAGTGTGGGCCACTGATCAATTAAACATTAATGGCTCATTTTGAAAGACTTAGCGAGGTAGTGAATAATGTGTTAGGGAATTCATTTGGAAAGTAAGGAGCCTTATGCTCTTTGTGAGTATTATCTGACTTGGTCAAACCTTTTGTTTCTCCAGAATGACAATTTTTAAAAGAAACACATTAAAATATGTTCAGATCAGTCACTCAAAGGAATTTTTAGGTTGAACAGTACTACTTGGGTTGTTTGGTGGTGGGCAGTCTGTTGTATGCTGCTGTTCAAGCAAGGATTTGGTTTCGTCCTTTAAAGGAAGGAGCATTCAATGAAGTGAAGTTCAGATATCTGGCATTGTTTTTTGTAAAAGTATTGGTAAGGTTTTTAGCACATTCAGTATTGTTGTGAATTAGCAGAAGTTATTTTGCCATTATGTGACTCTCTCTGTTATTACAGTACTGGATACCAGTGTATTTACTATTCACCTGAAAACACAGCCAAGGCAAAAGAAGTTCTCAGCAACATCAATCATCTACAACCTCTTATATCAAGCCATGCAGACCTGCTGCTTAGTTCTGCAAGCCAGCGTTCTCCAGACAGCTTGAAGAATTCTTTAAAGATGCTTTCAGAAAAAGTAAGATTCAAATCTTCACTGCAATGGAAAATGGAATAACCAGGTCTCTAACTGCTGGGGGTTTTTTCTGCATAAATTGACTTTCACAGCATCAGGAAATGTTAAATAAGCTCTGCTAAAATAAGCTTTAAAATGTTACTATTAGAAAAAGAATGCTATTTGGCATTTCTGTAGGCTTTCCATATAGAAATTTAATGAAATATATAAAGATTGTCTTTATTTGAAAGTGTAATTTATTTAACTTTGTTTGTCTCTTTTGTCCTCTAGTGGCCACATACTGGGGTTTATCAGAATAGTTTATTATAAATAGTTCTTTGGTATGATAAATTATTATTTTTAATTCTCTTTCTGTGATACTTCAAGCTGCTGCTTGTGGGAGATAGTTCAAGCCAGGTTGGTGCATAAGGTTTAGAATAATAGCATGATCAGAAATGGTGATACAACTTGGAAGAAGCTAGGAACTTGGCACCTGGAGGTCTCAAATTTTATTTCTCTTTCTCATATTATATTCCTCTATAGCTGTAGGCTTTTCCTCATCTTAGTTTCATTAGTTTTAACTTAAGGAAGATAATATTTTCTGCCTGTCTCACAGACAGATATTGAAGATTAACTGAAGTCTGTAGTACTTTTAAACACATGGAATATGTTATCCTTGAAAAATATTAAGCAGTATAGCTATGGCCTGAGAGGTTGAAAAAGTTTTCCATTACTTCAGGGGCCATCCCTTCTGTAATGTGATCTCATTATGTTTTAAAAACACTGTTGATAACCATTTCAATATATTTTCAGCTATTGGGAAGTGACAACCCTTGTGGTCTGTTGAGCACCGTTATCCCAGCAGTACCTTGTTCAGTGGGAGAGTTTCAAATCTCAATATTGAGCTCAACCACAAACTGTGAAGGTGCATGGCATTGGAACCATGGGAGAGAGAAACATTGCTCTGGGTTACTGTGTAAATCCACAGTAGCTCTGAGAACACTGGAGTCACTGTGAATGTCAGGGATAATACAGGAAAGCGGAATTCAGCCTGGAAATGAAACAGAGGAATTTGTGGGGAGATTGTAGCAATTATAGTGTACCTTTCCATGTAGGAGGCTGTTTTTAGCTGTGCACAGAACAAGTGAAGCTGCTCTGTTAGTGGTTAGTTCAAAGAAATATATAGGCACAGGTAATGCAAATCAGACAAAGAAGTGTTTGTTCTGAAGATTCAAAGTGTGGTTGCTAAGGAATTTGTGTGTTAGCTGTAGCCATTTGCCTCTCTGGGCAGGAGGAGTGGATGTTTTCCAAGTGGCTGCAGGCAGCTGTGGAACTAAACCACTGTTTAAGTCACATCTCGTTGGAGAGTCTGACTAGAGAAAAGGGTCAAAAAAAGACAATCCATTCAGTTTGCAAAAGTCACAGATATTTTACATTTATAGCTGGGGATTTAGTTGTGTATGTTCATATCAACTCTTCAGGGGCAGGATTTAACATGAGCACAGTTTCCCAAAAGGAGGAGGAGTCTCACCTGGTGCAGTGCATGGATGTCTGTCTAGCCTCCACCTTTCTCTTGGAAGAGATTAATCCAGTTGTCTGAAAAACCGCTGCATGAACGATTCAATACCTGCTTCCCTGTCTATTCCCAAATTTGCTCTGAGGAGTAGATGGATAATGGAGAAATAATAGGGTTGGATCATTGTTGAGGAAGCAAGTATGGAGGGACGGCCCCTTGTAAAGAAGGGAAGAGAGATGGGGAGGAAAGCAAAGACCAGGAAACAACTTCAGGGAAGGGAAATAGCACTTCAAACCCCCAGACTGAGTGAACCCACATGATACTGCAGTTAGATCCCCCATAGTTAGTACAAAGCATTATCTTGGTGTCCTAAAACAACCTGTCCATATAATCTGCACCTCAATATATGAGAACCAAGACTAGCAGAGTGTCCCTGATTATATATAAGTCAGAGTGGCACGTCCTCTGCTGAATAGAATTACATGATGCCTACTTGTATTCCTGAGGCACGTGAAGTGCTTCTGCTCTTCCATCTTTCCTACACTTTTTATATGTAAAAAAGAAATGCTCTTACATTTTAACTTGATAAAAATTTAGAAATTAAACAGCTGTTTGAAGGAGTTGTAAAAATGATTTCCCTGGTGATTCAATTCCACAAGTTTATTAAAAAGCATATCACCTTTTTTTAAGGTGAAGTTAAGCTTGATATATAGAATAATTAGTTCTAAAAGTGTTAGGTAGTAGTGAGTATATCTGAGCTATCAGTAATGTTAATTACATTTAAGTATTTATATTAGAAATGGAAGGACTGGCTGCGTGGATTGAAATTGGAAAAGTAAATAATTCCACTGCTGCTTCTTAAATTGAGTTTATTTCCTCGTATTAAGCATGGTTTTACTTCTCTATATAATTTGCAATTTGCCATAGTATTTTCCTGAGAGTAACCTTTTATCATCTCTTTCTGTTAATTGATTAAGGAAGCCTTTAGCTGTCGACAAGTGTATCAGCATTTGCAGCTTGCAGAAGGCTTGATAAATTCATTTTCCAGCTATGCCTATCTTTGTTTGCAGAAATATTCTTTAGTTGAGTATCTAAAAGAATTTGCAAAGTTTTCATTTCTTTGTATAGACTTGTTTTGTGGTTTCAATGCAATTTTATAAATAGTGATGTTCTGCAAATTTAGCTGTACTGAGCTGTTAGAAAATGCAGTTAAAATGTAAATTGCTTTTAAACCAATGGGATCTTTGAATGGAATTTAATTACAGAGCATTTTAGTCTCCATGAAAAAATGGAGGTTCACTTCTGTACCAATTTGCTTTTAAAAATTAATTTCCCTATAAAATATTTGTATTAAATTATATTACTTAAACTTTCCAGATCATTACCTAATGTACATTGCAATCCTAGTGGACATGCTTTACATCAAGTTGTCCAACGCTCACAATTTTCTCAAATTTAAAGCTTTTTTGAGTCTGCCATGCCTGATGCAGAGACCTGAAATGATCTCGAGAAGATTTTGAGGGGAAGAGGAGATCTGAAACCTCAGCAAATCTGTGATGTTGCCATTTCTTAGGATAGACAAGTAACGTAGTTTTGACTCTTGATATGGAACTTCAAAAGAGTCTTGAAGACATTTTGCCTCTTCTTTGGAAAAGAATGGTATGATTTAATAGCAACATTTCCCAAAGACTTATTTATTTTCCAAGCATGCACCATGTGGAGGCTGGAAATTTAGCAAATTACAATTGTTCTGTAGTGCAATTCAGGACTAACAGGAGACAACCCTGAAGGCTGCATATAAGAAAACTCTTTAAAAACACTCTTAAAAACTCAGGCACCAACTTGATAAGAAGGAGAAAGAATGGGTCTGGTAAAATTGCCAGGGACATGGGTAGTGTTGCTAAGTCCAATCACTAAAGAATCCCAGATGAGGTTTGAGGGAAGTCCTGAATTTGTTTTAAAAAAAATATAGCTTAAATATGTCTGAGGTTCTTATTTTTAAAACTTTTGAAATTTAGTTGCAGCAAAAGTTTTCAGCCTTTCCATGATAAATGGGAAAAAGCATAAACTTCTCAAGCAAGTACCTAAACCAGCAGCTGAAGCTTGTGGAAAACCATCAACTATGTAGAGCATTGTTGTCTAAATATCAGTAAACTTTTGAGGGAGTATTGAGGCAGAAAAGCAAGAAATATAAGTTGAGTAGCAGTAGAGGTATACAAAAGAGGAGCAAGTAGTAGGAAAAAGGGATGGAGTAAGAATAGAAGTAAGAAGTGCAGAAACTATGAGCAAGACTTCCAGGAAGAGAGATGATGACACTCGAAGCTTGCATGGTTTGGGGTTTTTTTTGCTACATTTTCTCCAGGTTTTGCATAAGCAGTGTGTGAGGGCTGCATGAAGCTTGGCTGGGCAACCTTTATTTCTAGCCTTTCCTAGCTTTGTGTGCCAGCTTGTTCAGGCTGGTTCCTCTGACTCTTACCTACATATTCTTCACATGCCTGTTTAGTTAAGATTGTGTGCACAAAGGCACTTCAGCATCTGAGTCTGCCTGCACGTGACAATCCACTATGTTCTGGGAAAACAGGAAGGCAGCTGATCCGGGATGAATAAATTCAGATGATTGTGCTGTGAAAGAAATATGGAATTGTTTCATCATCCCCTGTGAACCAGGGCTTCTCACTGGGGAGAGGAGCCCTGGCAGGCTGGGTGGGATGTGTTGGATGTGGTGTAGCAGCTCTTCCCACTCTGACAGATGAACCCTGTTGAAAGCCATTGAAGTAACCAAAATGGGGATTCTCCCCAGCTGATTGTCGCTGTGACTTTGCTGTTATGTTGAGGCAATCTAGAGGTGGTAAAGACCGTATGCAGAAAGCATTTTCCTTTTCTTGTTGGGGTGGAAGGGAGATAAATAACAAAGGGAGGTTGAAGGGTTTTAAAAACTCCAGTTGTGACAGTCATCAAGATGAATTTAGGAAAAATTATACAGTGATTGAATAACATCTTCAGAACACCTGGAGAAACTACTTTGGGGTGTCCTTTCTTTAAAAAATAAACAAAATAAAGCTAGAAATCAGGTGCCATCACCTACCCTGATGTCTGGGTTGATACCCATGTACCAAAATTTATCTCTGCAAAGACTACTTTTGCAGATACTGCAACCTCAGCAATGTAGCATGGTGGGTTTTATTTAAGAAGATCCTTGGTTTTGTTAATCATGTTTTGTCTGACACTTATTCATAAATTATTGAGCAGTGGTTGGTTACTCTTGGAACTGGTTCTTGTAAAGGCTCGTTGCTGCAGATGAAATTTGGAACTTGGATAAAATGTGGGAAAATTATGATCTCTATGACAGATAGTCTACTCTTGAGTTAATCCTTAGAACACTGGGATTGTAGAATGTGATGATGTCCCTAACACCCTTGAACTGTTCTTCATTGTTTGTTGACCTACATTGTTTTCCACCTCTCAGGCCAACCTGAAACAAGTACTCACTCTTTCCAAGGGTAATTCAGTGTTATACCACTTTAGTTGCAGTATTGCATTCTCTGATCTAAACTTTTCATTCGTGGTTGTTTTTTTTTTCCTAGACGGAGTTATTTGTGCATTCATTTAAGGATCAGCTGGTCAGAAGTGCCCTTTTAGCACTGTACACAGCCCGACCTGGCTGTGTCCTCAAGAAACCAGCTGTGCCTAGAAACAGTGCAGAAGAAGGGGGTGATTCACAGCACCAGGATCATCCTTCTCAGATTAAAAGGCAGGACTCTATACCCCATCATTCTGAATATGATGAGGAAGAGTGGGTAAGTAGTCAGAAACTCTTGGTTGGTGTTCAATCCCAAACCCTACAGTAAATCAGCATAAACAAGTACAAACCCTAAGTGTCCTTGTCACGTGGTATTTCAGAGAGGGAAGGAGTGCAAAACCATGAAATCATATTTTTCAGATGCATCACAGATTTTGAAGCTCAGTTGTAAGGATCTTCCTAAGTGCAGTGCTGCTGTGGGACTGCTTGGTTGTGCATATAACAGTGAGGATGATGAATATCTTCTTGCCCAGACAGAAAAGTAGTCTTTCTTTGCTCTTACTTGAGTTCTTTTTGCTAGCTGGGCAGATTTAAGGAGGCTGGAACAGCATATGTTGTTAGGAGGGAAATGTTCTTTTCTTCCCCATCCCCCCCTTCCCTGCCTCCAGGCAGCAAACAGTTTAAATACACATGAATTAACCCTCAGCAAAACAGAGCTCTTTTCCCTTCGACTCTCTCCTTAGAGGATGTCTGAGATTGTGTAAGAGAACTAAACGTGGCTTTTACATTTTAACATTCTTAGCATATCTTTCAAAGATGTGTATTATTTATATGGCTGAGATTATGTAGATTAATTATTTTGGTGGATGTAATAGATCTGCTGCTTTGTTACATACATACTCAAGGTATTTTTATTCAGTGCAGACTCATACTTTGAGTTCATCTCTGTATTCTCATAAGTGTAAAGGAAGCCAACATATTCATCTCTATTGTAAATAATTAATAACTTGTGTGAGCTACAGTACTTACACCTGAACTGTGATTTTTATCCATACCACAAATAAGAGAAGAAGAATGTATTTCTTCTAGAGAAAAGGCAATTATTTCCAACCCCATGCATTAAGTAGTCATGAGATTTAAACAATAAATAAATCATTCTTTTATATGTCCTCTGCTTTTATAGCCTCGAACTCATTCTTTCTTGTTTTCTCAACAACCTGACAGGCTAGAATGGTGGTTCTTTCCTTGAAGTTAAAGCCAAAATGTTTGTTTCCAGCTGTTGAAACATTCAGAAATATAAACATCACAACAGGTTTCATAAAAGGGACAAATTTTGCATTGGAAAAAACGTCATTTTTTTACAAGTTGTATTTTAATATTTTACTTCAGCTTAGCTTCTCTGATAGCATTACTATATTTTCTATTGATTTAGAAAACAAATTTCTGACATGATTTGGTCCTTATGTATTAAAACCTATAAGCACATCATTTTAAAATGTGTCTATTTTTTTCTGCTGCTTTAGTAAGATTACCTTCTTGATTAAAAATTAAGTGTATCTGTCAGTATTTTCTGAGTTAAAGTGAATCAGAGTCACTGTCAAACTTGAGAAAGTATAAATCTTAGAAGAATTTGGGGTTTTTTTCCTGCATTTGAAAGATTAGACTTCGGATAGTTTTCAGTTCTTTTTGTCAAAGGAGGTGATGAATAACGTGAGTTTTAATGATGAAATTGTCATGAGCATGAGGTAAAGAGAAAGAATAAATGCATATAAAATTTGAAAGAAATGCCTAATCCACTCTGAAAGTCAACTATAAAGAAAAAAATGGATAAGTTGCTTTGTATGCACACTTCTGCATCCTCCTTGGCTGTCATGGGTTTTTTTCTCATTATCAAGCACTAGAGTTACATTTTACAATTGGGATTCAAATTTCAGTTTTTCCTGAAATCTAAATCTTTAAATGATTCTTTAAGCTGACCCTGTTCCATCCACTTTCAGCAACTGTGTTACCTTACGGCCATCACAGAAGTGAATTCAAGGCAGTGTTTAAAAACTAGGTGAGATCCACCCCCTTCCCTGGCATCCAAATTTATCTTTAAAGGAATAATTTCTTAACTGACAGGGTCCCCTTTCCCTGAGTGACCAATGTTTTCAAAAAAGCCTTATTCTCAATAGCAACACTGTGTTGTACCTTTCTTCTTTGAGACCAAGTACGAATACTCATCCCAGAGTAAGTGACTGCAGTACAGACTGAGCTGTTTGTATTGCTGCACTGTGTGTAGGCAGCAGTAAAACATCACTGTTGAAGGAAAAATATTTAACTTGAGAGTTTTAGATTGCCTCTGGATAGATATTGTCTTCTCTTACCAGCTGCTTCTGCTATCCTAGAATGTCCCTACAGGAGGGCACAAAGCATGTTGTCATGTATAATACAAGAAAAGGTGGGCACATTGCCACTTGGAGCTGATCCTGCTCTACATTTCTGACTGACTAGTTAATGTGGTTGGAGCTACAAAGAGCAGATAAAATGGCATTTCCAATAAGCTACGTACAAATACCGACACGGTGATCAGTCACTGCTCTGAAATACTGAGGTGTGTGTGATATGTTCCGTTCCAAAGCACTTCCATATCACAAGAGGGGCTTAAGTGTGCACGTGAGTTATTTGCTTTATCTATGAACATACCTCAAAAGGACTGCAAGGTAATATATGACTATCAACCCACACAAAGGAGACAGTATCTTTAGAGCACTGGGAAATGCAGTTGCTGTGTCCTACTTGGCACAAGCAAAGCATACAATTGCAGTGGCGTATATGGAAGGACAAGAAGTGACTGAAGAGCTCTGTAGTGAACCTAGAAAGCCTGAGAATCCTTTAAAAACAAAGAGGCAGCCTCAGGGACTCCACTGGCTTGCAGTGCTTAGGAGGGAGACATCCAGTTAGCTGCAGTGACAGAAAACAGTTTCCACTCCCACTCTCTGAAATGAGGAATCTATATTGCTTTTTAACGATGCTCTCAGAGCAGATGGAGATTTATTACATTTTTTCAATTGGGTGAATGAAAGAGAATTATCTTACAGGTTTTTTTTTTTAAATGTCCTAGAAACACTGTCCAGCTTTCAGTGATGCCAAGTCCTAGCTTTTCGTGGGGACCTTTGTAAGTGTGCTTGCCTGCCTGCCAGTGCCACAGCAGAGGTGGCAATAGAAGTGTGACTGTGACCACTTCTAACTAGCAACACCAAAACCACGTGCGCCAGGACTCCTTAACCATCCCAAATGGCTTCTAAAGTTTGGAAGAAGTAGAACATGTCAGTGTGCCATTGCCTTGTCTCAAGAGGGTCAAGCCCTGTTACAGGTTTCCACCTTTCCTGTCATTGCCTTGAGCTTAAAGAAACAGTAAAGAGAGGGAACCAGAGTCCTTGTTTCTCTTTCACACCCCAGCATTAAACTTACTATCCAGTTAGCTGTCCAGCAGCTATTGGTAAACCTGGTATCAGGGGAGAAGCATCCTGCTTAGGAAACTAGTCTTAGTACTTGAGTTGTATCAAGAAATAAGACCTATTTTCTTCTAATCCTTCACTTCACACAGAGAATTTCTAGAGAATGCTTACTTAAGAGGCTGTATCTGGCTGTGTTTTGTCCTTTGACCTGGCACATGCTGCAAAGTGATCACTTGTGAGGTAGTTCTTAGGCAAAGTGAAAATAGACCGCTTAAGGAGGTGAAAGATGAGTGGAAGGTGTGCTAGGCTACAGGAAAACATTCTGGAAATAGTAAGAGATGACAAAGAATGTGAAATGGATTAATTGCTTCTCATGGAGAATCAGAGAAATCCACTTGATTTTCATGGATTGGAAACTGCATTTTTGCTTGAGAATTGTTCTTACCAAACTGCAGAACTTGAGCAACCCTCTTAGAAAAATGTGGCTGCCTTTGTGCAGACAGAATAACATCTCAGTGAATGATAGAAACATCTACTTTTTGTATCTGCCTATAATGATAGCTTCTAATCCCAGGAACCTCCTATGGAGAGAAAAAGAGCTGTGGGACAGGTCCTTGCTCCCTCTCACTTACCCATATGTAAAAAAGCCAGATATACAATAATAAGAGTGAGCTTTCTGTCAACAGATGTTTATGAATTTTACTTCTAAACCCTCAGGGAATGTTTGTGTGAATATTGTATAGACATCATCTCAATGCTGGGTTAATAGTTGGTTTGAAAGGAGAAAAGTGTTCTTTTCAAAATGAAGCGAGGGCTCATATTTGTGTTGTTTGTGCAATAACTCCAGATGCTCATTAAGAGCTTAATGCTCTTTGTGTTGGGATTAAGCTCCCCCAGCAGACAGAGGAAAGGGAAATTACATTGCTGCAGCCACGCTGAGCAACTTGAGTTCATATACCTCAGCAACTCAAGCTGAAACTTCAGCTGGAAGCCCTGAAGTTCCCTGCTGTTCTCTGGTAAAACTTGCTGATATTTGGGCCCAGAGTTTTTACTGTTTGCAGTATTTCATTGCTCTTCATAGAATCCTTCTCCCCAAAATAATAGTCATGGGTAGTGGAAATCAGTAATTTCACCCATATTCTAAATATCTTTCAGAAACACTTGAGGTACTTTTGAGGAATATATACAATTTCTGTCTTTTGACTTTAAATTGTATCTTAGCATGTGAATATCAGATATTCATGCGTCTAATGGTTTGTTTCATGTGTACAGGTACAGATATTTCCGTGTGTTGCACTGTACATGCAGTAGTTTAAAAAAAATTGAAATAATTGTGGATTAAATGCAGTTCTGCATGAGTGTGTACAGCTTCTTGCCTCTTGTAAATCAACAATATCTTTTTCATAGTGTGGTTAAAGCATGGGTTTATACAGGGAGGAGATCAAACCATAGTTGCTACGTCCACCTGTAACACTAGGTGCTCACTTGTCCATAAGGCAATCCCACAAGAATGCTGCAGGATTCAGACCTGAGGAGCTGGAGGAGAGGATCTGTGTTGTTGTACATGTTTGCCGAGTCCATGCTTCTGTCTGCAGGCCCATGTGATGTCCCTGAGGTCAGGATGCCCACTTGTCACAGGGTGTGTCCTCAAGTGGAGGGAACAGGGAAAGATCGGATCCCTTTAGTCAGGATAATGACCTAAGTGTGGCATGCAGTTAAAAAGTAATCTTAGATTAAATGTTTACCCTAGTAGTAGTTCTTGATTTGCCTTCCCACAAACTCCAAGTATTGCCATGTCTATGGAATTACGGTATTTTTAAGTTTTCAGTTTTATTTAATCTTCTCTCTTGTTGTCTATTGCAACTCCATTTTTACACCTCAAGACCTGACATATATATAATACTCCTGGCATTGTAAAGTGGAAAGGAAAGTAGTGATATTATCTTCCCATTTCTAAGCCTCAAGAAAACTCTGGTTGCTCACCATTATATTCGGAATGACTCAGAATTAAAACATATAGATGGGAGTTTTTTGTGGGTTTGTTATGGTTTGGTTTTAGTCTGATTACTAGTCTTGGGTAAAACCTCGTTTCTTGTATGGCTTGGTTTTTTTCCTTCTTATTCAGTGCCACAGAAGTAGGAGCAAGAGATTTGATTTTTGCAGCATCCAGCACCTGAAAGACCCTTCCTGTATCTCTGTTCCACAACATGCCTTTCTTTCACTCCACATTATCTCTTTTGTTCTCTGTTCATACAGAGTTTCTTCTATCTCTCTATTACTTCTGTAATTCTCATATTTATTATAAACTCAGTTAAGTGTGATGGTTGCAGTTTGCGTGAGAGGTGAGGAATGAGACTGAAATTGTGTTACCTAATAAACATGCCGTGACAGCAAGTTTCTCATTCTAGTCTTTGAATTTTACATTTGCTTCAACAGAGTAACTGATGTGATAAAATATAGGGTAGTTCCGATGGACAGACTGCTCAGTTCCTTGGGATTAGACCTGAAACTCTGTGTGTATTTTCATGTAAAGGTTGAAGCACATGTGTTCTCCAGTGTCTGAGAACCCAAACAGTTTCAGCTCATTTACACTGCAAGAAAAATCTTCATGAAAAAGGCTTAACTTGGTAATAGGCTGAAGATTGAGAGAAAGGGTGATATGCTGGCACCTCATATTTCTACTACTTTGCTCATCTCTGTCTATTATGTTAATAGGTTACTATTGCCTCTTTGTTTTTCTTCTTCAGTAACGTGCAGTGATAATTCTGCTCTTTTCAGGACAGGGTGTGGGCCAATGTGGCAAAGAGTTTAAACTGTGTTATTGCCATGGTGGACAGACTGCTTGAAAAAGACAACATCAGCAGCATTAAAGAGGATCAAAATGACCCTTCAGCAGCAGACTGCAAGGTGTTGCATACAGGTGGTAAGCAATCCCCCCCCTTTTTTTTTTTCAAATCACTGACTAGAGTAAATAAAAATGGCAAAAGTTACAGAAAAATGATCTAGAGAAGACTCCATAGTATCTTTGATGTGCTATTGAGTGCCAATAGCAAGGTTTTGCACTGTTACAGGAAGGCTATTTATCAAAGTACAGCTTCATTGTGTGCTCAGATTGCTTATTGTGCCCAGTCTTTTGTGCTATAGTGCAAAACTTTTGAAACTACAATGTTTTATTTTGAAGGCTGATGTAATTTGATTTAATTTAAATTTCACTTGGATGTACTATTTTGAGGAGAAAAAAAATGCAGTGTGTCTTACCCCATAGGAAACTTGTAAGGAAGGGTGAACATTCTGTATCAGTGTCGTTCTCCTGAAAACACTTCCACTTTTCTGAGGTGATATATTGATTTTTGTTTCCTGATTTGCAAAAATTCATTTTTACCTGAATACACTTGTCAGTCTGTGTCAATACTGAAAGCTAGGTAGAGTGATTCCATGAGATGACGCGAAGAAAATTTTGTCCACAGTGGTTCCTTGTCACCAAATCTTCTGATCTTCTCCTATGGCTTATTCCTGTTTGTTTTTCAAAGCATACATTAGATCTGCTTAGTAAGTCTGATGAGACTTTCTGATGTGCAAGTGTGTTGCAACAGCTCCTTAGTGGTAGTGGTGGTAGTCCAAATATAAGAAAATCAGAACCAACCCTTGTGCAATTCTTTGGTTAAAAAACCCAAATAAGAAAAACCCTAACTCAACTACTTTTATTTATGGAGCTTTGTCTAATGTGGGCTTTTTTAAATTATTATTATTATTATGCATTTTATCCTATATCTGCTTTTACATGTTTCCCCCTGAATTTAATGACATCATTTTATACAAAGGATTTTAAAGATGTTAGTACTGATTTGTGATTCCTTTCTTACATAATAATTAAAATAATTTTTACATAACATTTATAGCCCTGTTGAGTTTTGTGCAACAGATTTTGGTTATAGTATTGCTTTTTAGTCAGTGCCAAATGTGTTGGACTTTTTTTTGTGTGAATACTTCAGAGAACAGAGTATTCCTTATCTGTTTGCTTCTCTAAGTTTCTGTCTACTGGGCATGTATCCCTGTAGTGTTGGAGAGATGTATGATGCTGTCTTTGTTCTCCAGTGAAGGCTTGCAGGGGTAGAGCATCAACACAGCTTTCCACATTTTTCATACCTTTCTCAGAGAAGACGGTACAAATATTTAACAGTTAGGTAGGTGTAGTTTTCAAGAGGAAAGAACCTTTAGAAAGTGAACCCAAGCATACTGATTCAGGCTAAAAGAGCAAAATTGAATATTTGTTCTTGTACCTAACTCCTTTCTCTTCCCACTGGTACTAACAAGCTTTTCTGCTATTGTTAACAGAAGTCCAGTATGTGTATGATAAATGTTTTGCAGGTAAAGTAGTAGGAGTACATTTTCACCCAAACTTTCTCCCAAGTTACTTTGTGAGTGCATATGCAGATATACATGTCGTGGTTCTTATCTGTATTTCATAGTTGTGGAACAAATTTTCAGACCTCCCTCCTCAGTCTGGAAAAAGGTATGAATTAGGATAAATATTTTGTGATACTTTCTGACATGTTTAGCACCATGAGTGTTTACAGATTTTCCTTCACTCTCTTCAATCCCCTGAGCATGTCTTCTGTTATTCCAAGTAAGCCAGGAAATGGATTTCACCAGTCCATTTATGTCTTTCATTCTAGTTACAAAAAAAGTGTGTTCTTAGCTTTGATTCAGACTCATGACCTACACAGTCAAATGAAATATTGGCTAAGCTTTTAGGTCACAAACCAAAAAAATAATAATAATAAAAAAATGTTACTTCATTTTAAGTAGTATAATAAGCAGTAATCAAATAGAATGAAAGGTACCTCTTGCTAAGCAATAATGATAATTGTAATGGTTAGAAAATTATAGATTGGTCTCATCCAGCTGAGAAGTTGACTTCCGGATCTGGTGGGCCAAGGGCAAAGAGAATATCAAGATGCTATGGTGCTGGAATAAATTCTTCTCTTCTTCCCCTCATTTCAAGGCCCTCTCTATTTCTCTTGAATCAGTACAAGGGCCCTTCTGTAAGAGCAGAGTCAGTGCTTTTGTTGAGCTGTCCTGAAAGTTCTGCAACACCCCATCATCTGAGAACTGCAGGAGATTTGTGGGGCAGACTGCTCTGGTTTTGTGTTCTGCTTTTTGAGGAGAAGACATCATTTCCTAATGGTGTTTTCACAAGAGAATTGTGGAATACCTTTGACAGCTTACAGGACTTTCGAGGTCATGTGGAAATGGAGGCGTTTTAAAATTGCTTTCTTTTATAGGACTAACTTTAAAGATGGAGCTTTCTGAAGGACTATCCAGGTGTGTGTCAAAGTTGGTTGCCTAATGATTTTCAAAACCATTGCCCAGAATTTTTCATGCTTGCCTTCTCTGTGAGAGTGTGGATTTATATGTTTGTTTTTCTCTGCATCCTTCATGAAATTTAACGTGAAGCCCTGAGGCTGCACCTCTATGAAGCACCTACACAGAGGTTGAGATTCCAAGTTTAGAGTTATAAATTTGGCCTTAATTCTGCTCCATTTTACATTTGAAGCCTGATTGTATGAATTCATAACATTAGCCTAGGTATAAAATCACACTGTGTGTACACCCATAGATACGTTTCTAAAATGACAGAATTTTATGCTACTTACAACTCACAAACATGACATAAATGAAAAGCTTGCCATATCTTGCTATTATGTATTATACCATAATTTGAGAATAATGTATTTCTTTAACATTGCAAATGTATGGGCACAATTACATCTTTGAGTCTGAAACTGCTGGAGTTGATCCTAAGAAAATTTGTACTGTTGTTTGTAAGAAAAAAGAATACACGGGGTTTTGACCAAAACATTGAAAAGTATGACTTAAAGTATAGGATGAAGTTTTTTACCTATTTAGTGAACCTGAATGGTTTAATACAGGTTTTTTTGTAGCATCTGGCAATGAAAAAGATTTCAAAGAATGCACACGTATTCATTTTAGACGATAGAAAATGTTATGACATTTTTGCTGCAATAACATATTCCTATAACTGCAGATGTTGTTATAACATATATTCAGAGCTTCCTAAGGTAGGCTTATGTTTGCAGTCTCAGTGTTGACATCGTGTGATCTTTTTTCCAAACGTGTTTATATTTATTGTTTGGAATCTTTGCAATGGGAAATATTGGTGGCACTTTTTTCCTGCACTTACCTTTCAACAGGAATTACACCTTCCTTAGCCTTAACTTTTCATGCAGTCTGACCTTTGAGTGTATTCTTAAAACTGAATTTGAGTTACAGTTACCAAGGTAACCTGCTATGGTTTCATCAGTTGCAGGATTGTGATTTCTCTGCAGGATAAATCAGAAAGAGTAGAAAGATTTTAAAGGAGAGGGGTTCTTTTTGTTGTTTTTTTTTTTTTAACTCTAGACTGGTTTGCCTTGGAGAAATATGTGACAGCATTAAATTCTTTTTATTTTTGCCTTTTCACTTTCTATGAGAGTTGGAATGAGAAAGGCTGTCCTGCAGCATCAGAGGTGCCAGAGAAACACAGCAGTTTGCTCTTACGTTTACGCAGCCCCTGACAATCCCCATATTTATCTGTGCTGCTGGAAGAGGCTGCTGTTTCCATCTGCTCCTTGTACCACACTGTCAGAGCCATCACCCACTATTCCTCTGTCAGCTCTGTGGGAGAACTCCCTAATTTGCTACACACAAGATCCACCCCATCTCAAACTATTTGAGTTGGCAGCGTGATTGCACCTGGATTTTGCCTTCAGTGAATTATGGAATCATAAGCTCTGTTGCTGGGCAGGTGAATTGTCCAGTGATAACCTTCAGCATAGATAGCAAAGAGCACTGGTAAATGGTGCTGTATTTCCTAGCTGGAGTTAAAGAAAACATCTGTTCATAACCACATTGCTGCAGGCACCTGTGAGTTAATTTTTCTTGAGTTATTTGATACCTGTTGGGGACTATGTAAGTCTGGATTTAACCTCTCTGAATTTCAGTGCTCTTGGGATGGGCACTGCTTCCTTTCAGTTCATCCCTCTCAATGCAATGCTGGTAGAAATGTGGAATAAAACCATGTTCTGGGTTTTTTTGCATCTTCAAAAGAGCTTTTACCGTAAGTTATCATTTAGTCAGGAAGATGAAAAATTTTCCCATGGTCTTTGCTTGAGTAGTAAACATCATTCATTTGAACAAACACTTCTGGAAAGCTTTCTCTTCCCTTCCTTTTCCTCATATTTTTCTTTCCTGTTCTTTTAAGCTTATCTTTGCATCAATTTTACTTTTGCCTTTTTTTTCCTTTTCCATCTCACTTTGTATCATCCTTTTCCTTTTGATAGGATCCTTAACTGAGCTGTATGTAGCCCAGCATACAAGACAACCCCTTCAGCTGTACTTTCTCAGGTAGTTTGGCTATAGACAGAAGCTTAAAAATTTGTAAGGGAAAGGAAGACTATTTAACTGAATCAGCAAACTAAAACAAAATACCAGAATATTTACTTGCACAGCATTCATAGAGCAAGGTTACTTCTATGTTTTGAGTATGATTTCTTTAGCTTTGTCTTTTATTGCCTTAACCTTCTTCTGTTTTCATTGTGACTAAACCTGCTGAGACACTTTTATATGTATGGTTGGATGGTTCCAATTTTCACTATTAATCCATGTGACAATGTAGAAAATCTGGGCTGATTACAATGGAATAATAAATCCCCCAGCATTCAAAATTGTTCTTCTGGACACCCAAACTGTGCCAAAGTAAGGTTGCTATTATATTAAGTGCAGGAATACCTGGAAGACTTATTCAGGTTTTTGGTGTTCCTTTGAGAACTGCTGCAGCTTTATGAGTATAAAACCACATCCTTTCTCAAAGAGCTTGACCCTCATGCTAAAGTTAAACTGAGCTCCAAGGACTGAGTTGCA